AGGATTACCCTAAACCAGATGATCGGGCATTCGTCTCTGTATCTATTCATCGACCAAAATGCATAGGCCTACCTTGTTCGAAATTAATATTTCTTGTAATCCTAGACTCGCTGCACGTGGATAATGTCTTTAGTTGCCTTAATTTAGGTATTATAATCCAGTCGTTAGCGCAAATAAACATTAACATCCTCGGATGCTTTGCTACAATCGAGAAAATCCTTCATAAAATTTAATGGGAATGGACAATGCTTTGTTGCGTTGAAATAAAGCAGATCTTCATTTATCAATGGATATATAGATAAGAATTAACTGAAGTTAATATTTAAATAACATATATATCATCTGCTGACAGTAGGCTAAGACTTTGCTCAGGGAAATCGAGGCTTTGATAGGTTCAATCAGGTGCCCCCCCCCCCCTCCTCTGCTTGAACCCCCCTCCCCGGGGACTGAAAAATATAGACGTTGGTAGAACATGGAAAATCGACCCTAAACGTGACAAAGAAATAAAAAAAATACCAAGATAAATGTGTAACATACTGCAAGGTAATAAATGTGCTATCACAGCTATGTTTATCCGATTCAAAGGAAAAAATCTGCAGAACCTCAAGCGTATTGTGTTAGTTGTGACCCGAAAGAAACATTTGTCGTTGTTCTCCATGTACTGACCTCATTTTCGTAACTGTGATTTCGAATACATAGAATATGAGGATACGAGAAGTGACTGAACGTGCCGAACGTGCAACATTGGAAAGCAAGGACGTAGGTCGAAGAAAATGGTCACGTACAGGCTAGCCAACGTCCGGAAAGCTGATAAGCACGAAGAAAAGGTCCAGCAGGAAAATCAGTATTTAGTCAGTGCATATAGATAGAACGATTACCTCAGATATGAACATTATTAGGACTGTCAACACTGTTGCTTCTGCCGGCACTGGCAGTGGAAGACCAAGTCTATTTAGGTTGTTGCAAGGCTCGAACGTCCGAAATTTAGGGACATTAAGGCTGAGAGTTGAGAGACGAATTGCTGCAAACGGACCTCAACATCAGGCCATTTCAGTGCGTACTTATAAACGCGGTGGTTGGTACCAGGGGAAGGGAAATGAGAGCTTTTATCTGACTGTCATGTTGCTGGTTACAGCTGCTCATTTCCTTATATTTGGAGGTGTGAAACTGAGTACCTATTTAACCAAACGAAAAGAAGATAGGGGCGAGCAGAAAAGAAAAGTCTATATTTAATGGTTGGTACCCTTTCAACATTTTAGTCGAAAGTTAGCATTGTCAAAGGTAAAACTAAGAGGAATTTTTATGATTTTTAAGAATTTGAAAGATGTTGCTGTCATGATTAAGCCTTTTAAAGGTAACCTACATTGTATATCCTGTATTTTACATCAAAACTAAATTTTCCTAGAGAGAAATATTATTCTCCTACATATTCAAGAATCATTGTTTGGCCTATTCTGCATTTTGATAGGATGTTTTATACCTGTTGTTGATTAAATGATTTAATCCTAAAACTTTCCCATAAAATGTAAAATGGCATCTGCCTTCCTTACATTTACAATATACATTAATGCACAGAATCAGAAATGGCACATCATTTTCACTTTTAAAAAACTAGTGCAGTGTTTTGAGCATTGGGTCTTATTGCGATATACGTAGTCATCCTTATGAAGCTGAGAGATGCCATTGCTTGGATCTTGCAAGGATCTAAGGGTCTAAAAAGAAAATAATGGCATAATTAAGGTACTCATTAGACAAACTTTTGTTAAAGGGGCTTTATTCTTTTCAAGCTCTGAATAGAAGCTTTGCAGGATTAAAGTATGACTTTTCCAAATGAAGCCAGGATAAAAAATAATTGTTATTCATATACTGTACTTTAGTTGTTAGACTGAAATGTGTGTTAACATTAGTTTGCATCCTTACATGCAGAGCCATTATTTTTATTATTAATATTTTTTGCTCTTTTGTAGGATTATGGACAAGATGGAGCAAGTTGTTGTTGTACAAAATGTGGCAGTAGAAGAGATTAATCTTGACTTTGCTGAAGCTATACAACTCTACAATAACACAAGCCATCTTCATCAGCCCAGTGTATAAAATCACAACAACATCAAACCATGGATGAACAGAACTGTGTTGACCTTAATTTAAAACAACTAGTTAGCTTTTTGTGAAAAATGGCTTGCCAAAAAATGTGTATGGATGTGCACAGCAGTGCCCACCTTGTTATGTTATCCTAAAACCGTCAGTGATCAATATTGAAATCTGTTTTATATATATATATATATATATATATATATATATATATAGAGAGAGAGAGAGAGAGAGAGAGAGATGAAAGATGGAGATTACTTTTTTATGATTGTTAAAAATGCAATGTATTGACCCAAATGAAGAATCTTATTTATTAAGAAAATATCGATTCTAAAACAAAATTATTAACTCTAATGCTGGACACTCACGTAGATCTGCCAGATTTTACAAATTCCAGTGTTTTGTCCTTATCACAAGGACATCTTCAGGGAACTGTCATTATTTTTTAATACCTCTGAGAATGCCTCTTAATACCTCTCAGATGGGTAGAAGCTGCATACTACACATTATTGATTAAGGAATTGTAAGGCAGTGAGTCAATAGTGGGAACATAGATGTATTTGCTCAATGTACTAATCGTGAATCATATGAGAAAAACTACTGTTTCTGTGAAAATGGTCCAAAAGATTAATTATATTTATCTATATATTTATTTGATGCTAAGATCCAATATAATAACTTATATTGGGTCTTTGATGTTGGTTTGATGCTTGCTATCATTAAAATTGGATGGAAATTTGCTAGCTTATTTGTTTGGTAGATTTTTTTGTCTAAGAATACATATAACATTTATACCGGGTTTTTGCTACATGTACATTTTTATTGTTAATTATGGTTTAAGATTAATTTTTTGGATATGTGACAAAAAAAAAAAAGGGAATGGCGTTCCATATTGATAAACTACATCTGCATTTACCCCAATTTTCAACTTTTTCTCAAGACAAATTTTCATGATCAGTATGCTTTTGTTATTTCTAGTGACGTTTGAAGGGCGCGTCTGAAGCATGCAGCATTGCTGGCATAGTTAAGCTGTGTACCTAAAATCAGGGAATTATATCGGATATAATTCCATGCTAAAATGAAGGGTGCCTAAAGTATAAATTTAAACATTTATATGTCTTGCTGCATAAATCTCTTGTGACAGGATTTTTTGTGTCTATCACATTATTAGATAACGGAAATGTTAATTCCCTTTGCCATGCACTTTCTGCTCGATGACCCACCAGGAGCTCCCGTCGGCGCTTGTTGCATTTTTAAATGGCTTATCTTGTAGAGAGCTCTCCCTAAAGAGGAGGTAGGATTCGCCCATTGGAAATGGAAAGCACGCTGCGAGTGATAACTGCATTTTTGGTGCACCACTGAGGAATATCTTAACAAACGTTGGCTGTTTTTACCGGCTGTATTTGTGCTCTTCTAAGGACTTGCATCTTTTGCACAAGAACCTGCATTCATACAAAATGTCTTTTCGAAGATTTGGGATACTTAATACTGCCTCAAATTATATATGCAGGCAAAATGCGCACACAACGTTTAGTGTGTCCACTCGTCTGCTTCATTTTCATGCCGGTAAATATGATCAACTATATGGATATCCTGGTTATCAGCATCGAATTGGAAGATTCAGAACAAAGACAGAATTAAAGTTAAAAACACACATTTTGATGAGTTCTAGATGGAAACAATGCTCTTCTTCAGGTGGTAATCAATCAACAAATGAACGGTGTGGAAACAACACAGAAAAAACGGCAAAAGTTCACAAAGTGAAAAAGGGCATTGGAAGTTTGATCAGGTTTACATGCCTAAGTGCTGTTACATTGGGAGCTGCTGTATATTTGACTTATAAATATTCAGGCAGTTCAGACCCTGATAATCAAGACGAAAACCCTCTTGAATCAAATCGGATAAAAAGGGTGCATGATCCTGAACTTGGAAAGAAAGCCAAGTTGATTTATTACAAGGATGTTTATCTTCCTTACTTTATGGAAAATGAACTACAAGATATTGATGACTTTGAAGTAAGAGATTCAGACATATGGGTTATTACTTTCCCCTAAATCAGGTATAAAACTTTTCTTCTTCTTATGACCCTAGACTCGAACAACGTATAGTTTAGTGATTCAGCTAAGGTTTTAATATTAGACGTAAAAGAATATACCCAGTAATAATTAGTCCTGTCCAAATACATATATATTGCCAAAACATGTACATGTATACCTCATATGTGTATTCTATTGAAAACTGCAGAAACTGAATACTCCATTTAGTTCAAAATTATTTCAAAGGGAACATCAAAATAAGTGTTTGAACTTCAAAACATAAATATGGGAGATATGAAGATATAATTATGATGACAATTTTTGTAGTCTGGCGTGTGTAACATCTTAATTCTTCTCATGCCTCCCCCCTCCCCCCATTTGTTACTTTTACTACCTCATTACAGTTATTTTAGTTCCATTTAAAAGTATTTCATGATTGTATGAAATAAAACTTTGCTGAACTTTCTCAGATTTGCTGCTTTCATTTATGTTAATCACCTGTCAGATGTACCTATTTTGGCATGACACATATACTAGTATCTGTACTTCTATAGCATTAGGGTCATTGCAAAGTACACAATGTACTTGAATTTTTCTACTCTGTTACATCTTTGACACTCTGCAAAATCAGTTTACTCTTATATTCGTAAAGATGTAGTTCAAGAAAGTTAAGATGAGGTGTATTCTTCAGTTTTATTCGAGTTCCTTTTTTATTGAATATTCAATTTATTTTTTTATGTGTGCATTTTTTTGTTTGCTCCTCTGTTGGTAAAGAATAAGGTGATAAAATGTGTTTATTAATCTTATTAATCTCATTACACATAAAAAATATATTTTTAAGTTTAAATGAAATGTTGATGAATATATTTACAGGTACTACATGGGTGCAGGAAATGGTTTACCTCATACAAAATGATCTGGATGTGTCTAAAGCCATGGATAGAAATATGGAAGAGAGATTCAGTTATTTTGAATTTCCATACCCTGGACTCAAAACAATAAGTCAGGAAAAGCCACCAAGATTCATTAAATCTCACCTTCCATGTCATTTACTGCCAAAAAGTATGACCACTTCAAAATGCAAGGTACTAGAACATTGTGTGCTCATGCATTTCCATATATTTATATTTATACATTTAATTGTACCAAGTATTTACTGTTATGATGCACAGAAGTTTCAGATGCAGATGTTCAAGATGCAGACGTATTTATAATTTTGTTGACCATTTACATCTATTACAAATTTATGTACTTGTCTCTATTTAGTGAAGATGAGTTGTTTATCTGTCTTTCCCTGATTCCATCCACACAATAGAGGGTTCCAGAAGAGACAGGCTTGTGTCTGAAGCGATGTGTAGTGGTGTAAGACGTGAAGCTGAGTGGTCAATTTTAGCTTGAGGTGAACGGGAGTGAAAACGTGGCCTCAGAGAAAAAATTGTTTTTTTTTGCAATATTAGAAAAAAAGATAAAGCATTGCACAACACTTGTGGTTTGGTGCCATTCAGTTATTAGTTGCGAACTACTTCCTGGTTTTCATGGGGTCCTTTAAGGACTCTAAAACATCATTATAAAACCCCCAAAAATAATTAGCCATGGGCATATCAGATTACAAACATGCAAAAATTGCACATGACAACGATTTACAGCCTCGCGGGAATTCTTTTCCCCTGATGCTCTTTGTAGTACTGTAGGTTGATGCAGCATATATTTCAAAACAAATTGACTGCAAATTAAACAAGACTTTGCACCTTCAGGTTTCCTAACATGTTTTCATATCATGTACGTATTATTTCTACATGTACAAGTATTCTCTGCCCAAAATGGCAAAAGAAAAAATGTTATCTCACCATATTGTTGGAAAAAACTGCTTTTTTCTCTGAGCCCACATCTTGAAACACGTTCACCTCCAGCTAAAAATGACCACCGGCACAATCCTGTCTCTTCTGGTACCCTCTTTCTTGTCCTTTAAAAAAAAATCAAAAGTCCTCATATTGGTAAGAAAACCTTGACTAAAATTTAATGACAATGATGTATTTTTTCAGAAAATATATGTAGTCAGGAATCCCAGGGATGTAACAGTGTCTTATTACCATTTCATAAGAATGATCAATGAAATTAAATACAGAGGCAATTTCAGGGGATTTTTTGAGAGATTTAGGCTAGGCATGGGTAAGTGACTTTTTCTGCCTAGTAAGTAAATGTAGTTGACCATTGTTTGATTATTGTTTCAAATAGCATTCAATTTCATCTTCATTTAGGTATCGGAGTTTCAGTTATAGAATAAAGGTAAATTGTTTCCAATAGCACTCAGTTTGATCTTCATTTAGGTGTTTGACTTTCAGGGTAGAATAAAGATTATATTGAAGGAACATTGGGTAAAACAATATGTGAAAAATACAATATTCATGTTGATTTTTTCTCCTTTGGACCAGTTGCTTATGGGCCATGGTGGGATCATGTGAAAGGCTATTGGGAGCATAGGGATGATGAAAACATGTTATTTCTGAAGTATGAGGACTTGCAAAAAGTAAGCAATGAGAAAAAACTAAAGCTTTAATAATATGAATACTTTAAGCAGTAATGGGACGTGTTCACAATGAATTTATCGACCAAGCTACATTGTGCTCACACTAACTCCACAGGGACTCTTGCTGAATGCAGTCAGATTAACAGATTAACACTGGCGTTAAGTGGATGATGATATGATTATTGGAAACAAGAGGGGGCATGTTAGTCTGTTATTCTGATTGCAGTGAGGGTCACCATGGAGTTTTAGTCACTTGTAGCTAGGTTGATAAATTCATTGTGTACGGGCCCATAATCACATGTACCTGAAGACAAACATAGCTTAACATGGGGAAAACTTTTCTGATACTGATTCTGTGCTGGTCCGAACTAAATATTTTATTTCCATTAAATTATGTTTAAATGTGGTTTATTGTTATTCAGTGTATTTTCACATAAACCTTGTCATTCTAGAGGACCTGCTTTATCAAAATAGTGCCATTCCTTGGGCTTTCTGAGGCGGTCATAACTGGTCTGACCAATAGTTTTCCCATGTCTATGAGCATACTGTTTTTGCTTACTTTTTATTTTTGGTCAGGATGCACATACTGTCTGTAATAATACAATTACTTTATTGACACTCTTTTTTTTTCAAGGATCCTTATGGGGGAGTAAAGAAAATTGCAAAATTCCTGGGAAAAGACCTAAACGAAAAGGAAGTATACAATGTGGCAGTATACTGTAGTTTCTTTTGCATGAAGGACAATCCAGCCTCAAACTATTCTTGGTGGGATACTTTTGGTTTAAGAGATAAGAAAGAGGCAAAATTCCTACGAAAAGGTGAGGTTGCTTTTAGGGCTGTGCTACTTTCAAATGTCATACACACCCCATTTCCATAGATTAGATCGACCTACTTTAAATCGACCTAACTCCCTGGGGGTTCACGCTAAATAGCTGTCAGCCGGGCAGACACGAAAGTTAATTACCCCCTTACAGCTTGTAGTAGGCAGGACGGACATTTAAGTCAGATTATCTGAAAGTAATCTAGTGAGACTCCCCGCGGGGATAGATTGATCTAAAATCTATTGGAATAGAGCCTTAGATACATGTTCATCACTGGTCCTACCAGTCTGCTGTCATCGGGTGACCAGATCACATTACATCCAGAGCTGTAAATCTCACGTGAAACATTAAGAACCAGCTGTGTAGAGTTATTAATGAAATAATACAATATGTATAAACACTTTATTTATCAGCAGGCTTCATTTATTAAATAAGGTGCCTTTGTGTATTNTTTTTTTTCAAGGATCCTTATGGGGGAGTAAAGAAAATTGCAAAATTCCTGGGAAAAGACCTAAACGAAAAGGAAGTATACAATGTGGCAGTATACTGTAGTTTCTTTTGCATGAAGGACAATCCAGCCTCAAACTATTCTTGGTGGGATACTTTTGGTTTAAGAGATAAGAAAGAGGCAAAATTCCTACGAAAAGGTGAGGTTGCTTTTAGGGCTGTGCTACTTTCAAATGTCATACACCCCATTTATATAGATTAGATCGACCTAACTCCCTGGGGGTTCACGCTAAATAGCTGTCAGCCGGGCAGACACGAAAGTTAATTACCCCCTTACAGCTTGTAGTAGGCGGGACGGACATTTAAGTCAGATTATCTGAAAGTAATCTAGTGAGACTCCCCGCGGGGATAGATTGATCTAAAATCTATGGGAATAGAGCCTTAGATACATGTTCATCACTGGTCCTACCAGTCTGCTGTCATCGGGTGACCAGATCACATTACATCCAGAGCTGTAAATCTCACGTGAAACATTAAGAACCAGCTGTGTAGAGTTATTAATGAAATAATACAATATGTATAAACACTTTATTTATCAGCAGGCTTCTTTTATTAAATAAGGTGCCTTTGTGTATTTTTACTCCTTTTTTACTCCATATTTGTTTGAAACTAAACTACAAAGTACAGGTGTAATAATGAAACATTTTTCAGCTTTATCTGTTATTTGGCAGCCAGCATTTTGTTAGTTTTAAATTAAAAGTGCTAATACTTTATTAGTAAAATCAACATTTCCTAGTTTGCTGTCTGTTCATTCATTTGTCTAAGGGGATGTTATTTTACAAGTAAACTTATATGTTGTTTTGTCATGTTCAAAACCAGTTTCTATTTAAATATTTTTTAGGGATAGTTGGTGACTGGAAAAACTACTTCACAAATGACATGTGTCACAAAATGGACCAGGTAGTGGATGAAAAATTGGCAGGAACGGGTCTGACATTTGAATACGAGATACCAAAACGTTGATTATGTGACAAAATGAATGCAAGCCTCTTAGAAACCCATCTCTCAGCAAAATTTCTAAAACAGTGTTTTGTGCCAATTACTGTACTTTGTATGATTTCTCTATGGTTGACATGTCCTAAATAAAGGTGGCATTTTTTGTTCCTACTCTGATCTTTCTGTTTTATATCTGCCTGTACTTGCACTGAAACTTTAATTTTTATTGTGTCATGAACATGCTGCGTTTGCTCAATCTTGACTCTCTGCTTGTTTACTGGGCACATTATAACGTCACATGCACCCCGACTTACCCCTCCTTCCTACCGGTACATTGTTTCCTAAGATAAATCTTGATTGGATAAAACTTTTTAATTATTCAGGGATAATCGGATGAACTAGTAGCGTACTGGCAATTTCTCTCAGCCGTAATATGATAAGTGGGTTCGATACTTTATAAAGGCCTATATTTGGCAAAATGACGTTTCTCCCATTACTTTTACGTGAAATGCACACCATAATATAAGCGCAATAAAAATGAACAATTTTAGAAAACAAAATCCCTTGTCTGTTGCTTTATTCACCACTTCACGCAGATCTGCACAGGGTTGTAAGTCATCAGTTTTCCTGCTTTGTAAATTTGTGTGATATAGTGATCTACTAATTAAGGCAACAACATGAAAATTGGCGTGGTCGTCGAATAGGGTGTGAGCTACAATCTGACGTCCGCGTTTGATTTAGGGGAAATTGGCACCTGTTCCTGGTACCAGAAATGTGATTAAATCCGCTTTAAAACGGGTTGATAGCTATTCAGGCGAGGGATATTTTGAAAGCGATGTTTCAGTTTTTACCTAAAGTATCATCAGCTCGAATAAGCATATTCATTCCCATGTATTTTTGATGCGACAGCATGATCTCATAACATGAAACTCTATTTCCGCATTATCTAAGCTGATATCGAGAAAAATCAGTACGTACCGAACCCGTGAAAAGGGGAACCTAAACAACATACCTCCGCCCTATGTATAGAGGGAACGGCACAGCAAAGGGCGGCGTAATAAGATGGAATTTCTTTTCTAGTTCGACATAATTTTCGACAAAAACACTGGTCAACACAGAAGCAAGCTTTCTGCTTTTTTTGTGTTTTACAAACAGGAGGAAAAATAAGTGCTGAAGGTCAAATTTACAGCCAAAAGTTTGAAGAGGGTGCAAATTTTAAACCTTTTTCTACTGAACGAGATATTTTTCCTTCTTTTTGCCTGTGCATTGTATTCGTGTTGTATACGATGCGAGCCTACTGTTACTTATTTAATTTACATAACTATTTATTTACGTTACGTGGCATTTGCTCTCTAGACATTAAAATTTTTTTTCATATTAAACGAAACTTAAGTCAGTAGTCTAACTGATAATAAATTATTAAAAGGGGATAATGCTTTACGCTTACGCATTTGGAAAAATGCGAGATTGTTGCATCGTGATTATTGCAAAATAAATTATAAACAAACACTAAATAGGGACCAATTTATGCAGAGGGTGATCACTCCTATTTTTGACACTAAAGAATAAAAAGCACAAAGATGAACTGGTAGGAAAGGAATCAAAATGACATGTGTCCTAACAAAAACAGCCGATTTTTAGTTTGTCCAGGGGAGTTTTACTATTTTAAAAATAATTTAATGAATCAGACATAACTGTAATGAGGAGGTAAAAGACGAAGGGTATTATATGGGAATGATTAAATTGTTACGGTCGCCAAATACGCAGCCGGACAAATAACTGGCTCCACACTGAAAAATTCGTCATCATAATTTTAATTAACTTATAAGTGTTATTTAAGCTATATAAGGTATTAAATCTCTTTAACTTGTTTTTTTTTACTTCAAATAATTATTTTTGCGTCCCTTTAGAAAATAATTTTGAACGAACCTTCCTTTTAAGTGGCAGTTTTCAATAATATACACCACGAATACACGTCTACGACGCACCCACTGTACTGGTATTCATTAATTTTTTGGCAACGTACCAGATATTTAAAGGGATAATAACTCTTCGTGGCCAAAAAATAAATTTTCCTCGAGTAAACAACAGTTTTCCCCTAGTCTACTAACCAATGGTTAATGGCTTTTACATTCAAAGTTAGTCCCTGTTTTTTTTTTTAAGTTTGGTTTTTTGTTAAAATCTCTCAAGATATCATAACAGAGTACAGCCATCAATGGAGGTTATGTTATCTGAAGACAAGCTCAGATATCAGAATATAACTATAACTGACGTTTTTGTGGTAAAACAGAACATTATATTTCTATGAGTTGTTCACAATGTTTTTATTGTGAAATATAGATATCGTACGAAGAGTTATTATCCCTTTAAAATACATGCCTCACCCCCACCCCCACTAAGTTTTTTTTTTACTTCAAACCAGGTTCAATCTTGCAGTCTCTCATTTTCTATTTGCTTACCTTGACCTATTAATCATAGACTACATGTCATTTCACGTGAACAGCTCGTGGGGAAACCCGTGCCTCGTTTTCATATGTGACCTCACGGGATTCTGCTAGCATGACAGGAGAACGGATTGCCGGTGAGCATGATGTGTCTGTTTCAAACCGTTAGATTGAAAATGGTATTAAAAGAAAGTGATAATTGTGTCAGTTAAGATAATTAACCCAACAAAAATGCCTTTATTCACTGAAAATGACACTTCTTTTGGTGTTCGAATAAGGAAAGTTGGCGGGTAGCCAGACCACCGTCTTCTTACAATACTCGCTCTGCTCATTGGCTCAGATTTTGCCATGAAATTTGAGCTTATGTGGTTTAATGTCAATTTTTATTGTATTAATGTTTTCACGTTTAAATTTGCCCGTATTGTTACCAGTGTAGATATCAAGGGCAAATAAATGTGATGATAATATTAGTCTAACTATACTCTGTAACTGGCTGGAAATGTTCACGTACATGTGTGTATTTGTTTAATCCATATCAATACCACCTACATATTTTTTCTCTTAGAGCCACCCAGACTCAACCTGGAGAAAAGTGTTACCCTCTTCAAACTATTATGTGAAGGCACACCTGGTGACATTCAGAATGCAGACATTGGCTTTGAATTTCAAATAAGTAAGTGAGAAGAGTCCAGTCTAACATGAAAATTCATGTGTTCACACATCTGTTTATGATCTCCACTTTGTATTATACATGCTGATGCATGAAAGATATACTTGTGGTTGCACATAACTGTAAAATTACACGCAGGTGATTATTTTCCCTCTCACCTCCTCAAGTCCCACACTCCCGTAAAGCCAACCAGTATTCCCATCACATAGCTGTAATGCAAGATTCGTCTGTTTGTCTTCAAGTTTTGCTGTCGTGAAATAATAATCTGCGAATGAGGGAGTAATGATGGCCATCAACATAGTTCTGAATGCGAGAAGTGCATTGGGGATTGTTTCCCACCTAAAAGCAAACTTGAACAATCACTTTGGCAAAGCAACTTCCATTGCCCATTATTCTCTATGTTAGGAATGAATAGGGTCAGTTTTGTTGATGTGCAGTCACTTTAATAAAGATTTTTTCCTTTTCTGTTTCTTCAGAAACCCATGGAGGAGACTGTGGTTGTAATAGGGATTTGGAATACCAGTGGCATGACAAATTTGACATGGAGGAAGTTCTCCGAGTAGGTACCTGCCTTTGTAATAACAACACAGCAATGGAAACATCTTCAGAATTTGACGAGGATTGCTTTTACCCCTCAGCAAATTGTTGTGCAAGTTTCTTTCCTCTTCATGTAGCAACAGGTTCAAACAAACCTCTGATGGTGAAATGGCTGATTGACCGCGGTGCGGATGTAAACTGTAGAACTGCTGCATGGCAAATGACACCATTACACATCTGTGCCACACATGGTCACGTTGACTGTGCCAGGGTGCTTCTTGAAGCAGGTGCGGACTTGAACATCCTGAACAAGTCATTACACACTGCTAGTTCATGGGCCGTTTTCAACAAACAGCTTGGTGTGCTGCAGGTGCTCTTAGAAAAGTTTTGTGCTCAAGACCCTGTTGGTAACTCACCTGGACCTAAGGATTTGGTCCACATGTGCCTTGATTTGTTTATGACTGACTCTTTTGAAGAGGCATTACAGATGGTCATCAAAGCAGGTAGGTATACAGTTGGTTCTTTGGTTATATACATGTACTCATTGGATCTAACCGTAACTGCCCTGACCGTAACTGTTCATATAAAATTTTTGTTTTGGTTTCTATTGGATTCCTTTAGTATTTTGTAGAAAAGTATTATATGGGAAGCAATTGTATTGCGGAAATTCTCAGTAACTTTATTTTTACAAGAGGTGGACAGATATTTAATTAAATTCATGTATAGTTTGAATAAATATATATATTAAACAATTTTGCTTCAGGTATAAATGTAAATGTTCAGACTAATGGTAGAACGCCACTACTGCGGGCAATAGAAGAGAACAGTCTAAGGGGTGTGGAGTTATTGTTACAAAGCCCAACAATCGATGTCAATGTTGCAGGGTTTCATGGACAGATCACTCCTCTGTGTGCAGCCATAGAGATGTCCCACGGTAAGTGGAAGTAAAACCATCACATTAGATGCCCATTGTCCATAATGAATTATTTTATCAAAGTAGGTTAAAATATTGCATATCTTTTCGATTTTATTTCGATAGAATTAATAATTTCGATAAGAAGATTTCGAGTAGATAAAGTAAGCCAGTTGGTTAAAACAAAATAAAGAGATTTGTTAGTATTGTCATAGTGGGATATTAAAGTTACTGTTTACGTTTCCTTGGTTCTTGTAAGATTTAAAATCATTTTCTTCAAAACATTTTCTCTCTTTCAGCTAATATAAAGATTATAAGCATGCTTTTGGAAGCCGGGGCTGATCCTAACTTGTGTTCAGAGGGAGATAATACACCTGTTATGATTGCATCAGTGGAAAACAAACCTGACGTTGTCAAACTATTGATTGACCATGGAGGTGATGTGAACCTGGTGAATAACATGGGCTACCAGGCCTTGCACTGGGCTGCCTGGGACAACCATGTAGGAGTTATGAAAGAACTCCTGTCTGCTGGAGCTAAACCTGATTGTCAGACCAGTGACAAGAACACACCCCTTTCTCTTGCAACACACGGTGATGCCATGGCTGCATTTAACTTGCTTCTACCTCTGGGTTGTAATGTCAATAATAAAGACAAGGATTTGGACACTGCTTTGCATTATGCTGCGTACAATGGCAACTTAGAGATGGTTCAGAGTCTGATTAAACATGGTGCAGATCCCGAGATGTTAAATAATGTGGCTGCCACTCCTCTGTGGAATGCTGTTTATCAAAACCACTGGAATGTGTTTCAGTATCTCCTCAAATTAAATGTCCCTCTGGATGTGCCAAGTAGGGGTATAGACCAGCATGCACAATCATCTGATGTTGTTTATATTTACCCTCAACCTGTGACACCATTTTATGTGGCCCTTGAAACTGGCTTTTTTCCCATGGCACAATGTCTAGCTGTGGCAGGGTACAACATTACAAAGGAATATTGTATACAAACTGGAGATGTCCCAGATGCTTTATTGCACTCTCCTGAAATGATGAACTGGCTAGATCAGGCCATCTGTGAGCCCCCAAGTCTCATGTCACTGTGTAGGTATCAGATTCGCCAGGGACTTGGAAGAGAAGTCAAGGAGAAGGTACAACAGCTAGAGATACCAGTGGAACTTAAGCATCATTTGTTGCTTACTGATTTAACCAGCATTCAACTTGATTCTCCATTCACACTTTTGAAGTTGTGAATTATTTTGAACATTTGATGTCATTTGCTTTAGAATGGACAGAAAAGCTTAAAATATTGAAATTTTGTGCAAAAGCATCTACAGAGATTTTAATGTGGATTGTTTTGCATTTTAAAATCCTCATTTTTATATAGTAGATTATAAATGTTTGATCTTCAGGGATGAAATTTTCCAACTATAGGCATATTTCAGATTTTTTGGGAGCCAAAAATATCATTGGCCTTGGTGTCCCCCTGGACCCCATGACTTTTTGCACTATATGGCAATCTCATCCCTTGATCTTGGTAGTCTGCATGTTTTTTTTCCTAAAAGATATTGAACCCAAAACTTGTTTGGTATCTGACATATTGCCATTGTGAAGTTTACAAATTATTTTCAAATAAACAGAATATTGTATACTAACATGCAACATTTTCAATAGTGTGTGGACAAGAAAAACTTGGATCATTTTGTAAAAATGTATGTGCAATTGCAGCATGTTAATGTGATAATTTAATATATTACATGTAGTTGCATCTTAAATTAACTATAACTAAGTGCCAAACGGAGTTCATTATTTTCAATAACAGTGTTATATGAATATAAATGTTATTCAAAATGACAAAGCCTCTCCTATTTGCCAGAATCAAAATGTCGAAGACTCATTTTTCTGTAATATTTCATCACAATAGGCTGCATTTTTAGTGTTGACAATTGTCAAAACGTATCCAGACTAAAGAATAGACTTTGATATTGTGGGTGGTGTAGGTGCTCCTGACCATGTTATGATGCACCACCTTGATTGCAAGTGTTAAGTTGGCCTCGGAGAAGAATTTTATCAGTTGTGTTATAAGAATGAACTAAATTTTTCTTGGAGGTAAAACTATTTCAATATTAACCTGTTGACTGAAGAAAATTTTACTTCTGGCCTGTTTTCAATTAATTTCAATACTGAACTTATTTTGTGTAGTAGTGGCTGATTGAATTCTGCCTCAATTTGTAATTCCCGAGCAATATCAGTCTATATATGCAATTAGGACTGCCTTGCCAGAGTCGGTTGTGTGATGAACATGAACTTTTCTAGGTAATAGGGCACTGAAGTTTTGTTTGCAAGGATGCAATAATACTGTGAATATTGCGACATTATTGCACAATGTACCCACTTCCAGGGACAGCCTTGCCATCTACTTTGCAAGTTCATTATTATGATTATCAAAACTTATCGATATGATCTGTCCCATTTGAGCTGCTTGAGCTTATCCAAGGGAAACCAAAAAAGGAACTTTTCCCTGCTACTTGGGTGACTACACCCAAAAACAAAGGGGATAACCATGTTGGCAACTGTAGTCACTGTTGATTAGAACACCAAAATGTTGCGCAGTATCTTACCTGTCTCTGGAAGTGATGAAATCTCGCAAACTTAAAATTGGACTTCTGTGCCCTATTACAAGCATCATTCTCAGCTCCATAGCCTACATTGTTCATATATCAAATGTGTCAGCAACCTTTATTATAAATTTTGAAGTGTGAAGTTTCAAACCACAGATTAGCAGCTTAGTTCCTTTTAAAACATGTTTATTCACATTCAGTATTCCAATTTTAATAAAATGAAATATACATAAAAATATTTTTTTCTTGTAATATTTCCATGCAACAGAAGACATGACAACAAGATTACTCTTGATCAGCTAAAATGGAATGTTAGCTATACCATTCTTGATACATGATTATTTGTGTTGAAAAAAAGGTTAAATTTGTGGATGACATTATTCTTTTTTGCAAGACTGGATGACATTTTCAAAGGCATTAATATGTATAAATATAAACAGTACAGCAGGTTCTTCAGCAAACAGCAGCTTACTTTACATGTAAAAATTACCATGAAATTTCAAAATAATCATATTCATGATAAATGTGAGAATAAATGTAATGAGCTAAATACAGTTTGCCAAAAGACAAAACCTAAAAGAGTATATAATGTAAAGAACACAACTTGAGTTTCCTTGATTGTTACAGTATTTATCACATGGTGTTTGTGGTAAGATCAAAGCTGGTTAGTTCACAACCTTATAAGGCACTTTGGAAAATTCATAGTTTGGCATTATGTACTAAGTCCAATAAATTCCTATTATCACCTTGCATGTTCAGTTTCAAGAATGAAATTGCTGCCATGTGATGACTGCAGTGACAGCAAAATAACTGACAGCACTACATTTACCAAGATCGGTTGGACCTTATAGATATTTGCATCCAGCTTTTTGGGTTTTTTGTTTTTGTTTCACGAAGCTCTTAGAAATGCTCCGATGAAGTCATTGTAACTTATTTTTCCCTTCAAGTCCTTATCATAGTATGTCATAAGGTGGTAAAATTCATTCTCGCTTAAGTTCAGGTTAAATTCTCGAAGCACTTGTCGGAACTGGGCTGGTGTAACAATTCCTAGTCCAGGTTTGTCCATCATTCGAAATGCTCTTCTCATTTCCTTCCATTCACTCACAACACTTGATTGAAGTCTTTGCATGGCTTCGAAAAAAAATGGGCTCCCTTCACCTGTGCTGACCTGAAATATTAAATATACCATTTAAAAGATCTGGTTCAAATGTGGCACCAATGTGTAAAGAAAAAAGAAAACTTATAACGGACGTAATGATTCTGATACCTCTGGTTTACAGTGCACATTTATTTTGAAGGTCATTCTGAAAATTTGAGTTAGAACCATTTATTTTCCAAACCATCCATGAGTCTAGTATGATATACATGTATAGATTCACCAATGCAAAGAGCATGGGAAATGCAATAAGAGAGATGACATTAAAGTTATACCATGTTTATCGGTCTATGAAACTCATTCAGTTTCCACACCATAGGATGAAACCTTATGTTATACAATGCCTGTAAACAACATTGGCTCTGTTTTGATCACTTCCACTGCAATAATAACATCCATGCTACAAACCACAGTATAAATGAGAAACAGTAAAGGGAACCAATTGAAGGAAATATGGACTCACAACGAACAAAAATGACAAACATGCAGAATTCATCCGTGAAAATAAAGGCAACAGGATCAATACAGACAGGACTTCAGAAAACGTGTCTTAAAATCTTTTTTAGCACAGACAAAGTTAAGAAAAAGTGTCAATTCAAATAATTCCACAGTGCATGCATTAGTGGCTTCTTGCCTCATCTTTGTGTTTAGTCTTCCATAGAATGTCTTGTACTAGAGCTTCCAGTGTCATGGTTCTCTCCATTTCAAATTTGTAAGAATCAGTTTTACTTCTTCTATGCCTTTTACGAGTGCGTGATGATCTAGCACTCATGGTTACATCAAGTGCATCACTGACACCATTCTCTTTATTGTCATCATCTTCCTCATCAATTTTTTCCTATACACACATGACGCACAAAGGAATACTGTCATTTATTTAATACTTCCTAGCACTTTACAGATACAGTATATTTGCTATACTTGCATTTAGTGACTTGGTTCAAAATATTGCAAAATGGATAATTTCACTTTATAGGGCCACACATTTTAGAATGTGCATGGTTTGTATCTGAAGACTTCAATAAACATCATAAGACAGAGTCAATAGGTTACACATACAAACTGAAGATGTCTACAAGAAATAAACAGTAATTTATTTATTTATTGTTTTTATAATTTTTCATATTAGGAGACATACCAGTGGGTAATTATAAAAAAAAAACAATTGAAGCAAAAAAAAAAAAAAAATTATTCATCAAATTGAACTACTATTGACAAAAATTGATTCTGTCATATTAAACAGCCTATATCTACCTACCTGCACTTTGGGTTCCTGCAGCTTCTTTCTTCCAAAACCCTTGTCTGCTGCTCTGCTCAGGACAAAATGGCGCAGGAAATGAACATATGAAAAACGGCCATTTTCTTTTAGGTCATACTTGATCATTAATTGGTCAAACTCATAAGGAGCCATTTCAACTCCAAGTTTGTCAAATATATCTGAAATTGGAAAAAAGACTCCATTAAAATCTTTATGTTCACTGATTATTTCACTGTGAAATGGATTCAAGTTTTGCAAACTAATAGTGATAAATATTTTCACTACTTGGCATTGGTGCTATATACTGTAGGTTTGTGTGTAATTATAACATTCAATTGCAATAACTGCAATACCACTGACTTACCAAAATTTCATATAACCAAACTACATGTGTATTACACTTCGAGTATTTCAGATATTTTCAAACAGTTCACCAACTTAAAAAAAAACTTCTACATGCCGAACACCATTTTAAGTAGCCAATGGTATTGTAATGTATACCTTTGATATCTTGCATTTCCACAGTCCCAGTATTCTCCTGATCACACAGTCTACACAGCCTCTGTATGTCCTTCCATGTACGGTGAATGTGGTCCCTAAGCTTGTTCTCAATGTGTTCTGCATTGACTAGAGGTGTATAGTGCCCACCACCCTGACCGGACTGCCTGGACCCGACTCTTGATCCTGCTCTGGACCCTGCTGGGGTGCCCATTAGCTCAGACTGTCAAGAATATTTAGAAATATAGATTTATAATTTATGGGAATTAAAGTAGAAATGTGTACCCAATTATGAAATATTCCTCCACTAGAAATTGTGGGAATTTGTTTGTATATAACAACTGAAAATAATGCAAGAACTACAGTGTAAAACTCAGTAGAATATAGAGAAACATTTGGAACAAGATTACACTGTGAGAAGCATAAACAAGCCACACAAATCAGTTTTCCCTTGACAGTGCTATTAACAACACATTTCTTTCTTCATCTTTTTATGTAACATCTGGACTCTTTTTGTTATTGTGTTTACAAAACATGGATGTCCACAAAAGCATATCATATTACCAGTGGGCAAGCAAAACTACCCATTGTAATTGATCAAAACAGGCTACAGTTACACTACAGCTGTTACTTAAATCTCCAAGTTAAAAAGTATACCAAACAGAGAGGTTTTACATATCTACATGAACATGATTATCAAGTTTCTCCTCAATCATTAAGAATGAAAAACAATCTTACCCTAGCTACAGATCCCGATCTCAGAGAGAGTGGTGTTTCAGACCTGCGGCCTCCAGGTGAAGCCCCAAGCTCAGAGCGGGAGCGAGATGGAGGTCTTGGCGATGTACTGTTGCTGTATCGCTTCAAGAAGTCGCGATATTCCAGGTTGCCGAACTCATTGATCTTCAGAGTGTCCCACAAGTTCTCAAACTTGAATAAAAATTTGAAAATGATTAAAATTAATTTGTTTAGCCTGTACATTTTAATATTCATTGGCACCAGTAAGACTTCTTTCATGATAGTCTTTTTTGAAACAGTTATCTATAGAGAGAGGCGGACATAAAAATATAAATTACAAATTGTAATGTTAAAAATATGTTGCTTGATTGCTGTGAAGATCAATTGAGTATTACTGTTACATATAAGTATGTAGTGAAAATATTTTACGAGCAAAATATCTGCAGTACATCACATAAGATGTACAGGTAAGTACTATGAATAAATAGATAACACATATTTTAATGGTATTACAGCTAGGTATAGTACCTGATCATTGGAAAGCCTAAATGAATTCCTATTCAGCACATTTCTGAAATCCTCTTTGGAGACCACTCCTATTTTGGCATAGTCAATCTCAGCAAATGCTCTGGCCATCTGGTAAAAATGGGTGGTGACATTTTCCCGAAGTGCAGCATGAATCTCTTCCATACCCACAGACTGCTGTGGTGTTCTTCCTCTCATCATGTTTCTTTGAAGAGTTTCTAGCCATTGCTCAGATTCCTGCAATGACAGTAAACAAATGAATGTAATTATTTAATACATAAAGTTGAATTATTCAATACATATTATTTTAATAATTATGTATATTTTCAAGTGTAATTATGACCAGCAAATGCTTCTCTTGATATTTAACTGGAGATCCATCCCTTGTCCAGTTTGTTTACTCTCTAAAAGTCAACTAGCTATTAAAAACAAAGACAATAAATAAATAAATACAATCAAAACAAAATTAATCTGAAAAGGCCCCCTTCAAATTACCTGTTGTGTATCTTGCTTGAAATAATCCATGAAATCTGGGTAAGACACAGTATTATCTCCCTGAGCACTCATCCTGCTCATGAGATGCCGGTACTGTGCATCTGTCATCTTGAAGCAGAAATTATCCAACACACGGCGGAAATCTGCTGTGCCAATAACCCCTGTTTTGTCTTTATCGAAGGCAGTAAATGCCTGCAGTAAAATAAGAGAAACATGGCTGCATGAGAATTAGTCAGTAAAGTCTGTTCCGATATGGTACATGTGCAACTAACTGTTTGTCATAAATGGCCTGCTGTACTAGTATGCTCTTTTGTAACTGTAATTAAATCTAAAGAAGAGAATGAAAGTATTCTGATCTACCCAGTATCACATTTAAAATAATATCAAACAAGTCTTTCAATCATATGGTAGTACACACTAAGGCAAAATAGACCATGATTTCTATTGTACTTACAGATATGAGAACTTCAAAGTTATTGCTGATTTTATCACGAATTTTCTTTTCTGCAGAAGTGGGATTCAAATCTTCATATTCCTCTAACTGAACATCTGTTCTGTGACCGTAGCTGGATTTTCTGCCGTCTTCAAATGCCTTCAAAAACTGCTCATAATTTATCCTGCTGTTGGTAGCTACTAGCCCGATCCTGAAGAATATTTAGGTTACACGCTTAACTGTACAAGCTTTCTATTCTGTTTACATCCACTCCATAGCAACGACCTCTGGCTACACTCCTAATGTTTATTCAAGGTCACAGACTGCCTTTATCAACACTCAGCTCTTTAACAAATATTTAATCAAAGTGGATATTACATGGTTGACATGATTTCAATTGAACCAGTGAAAAGAGTCGATTCTCCTCACATTATACTGATGTTTAACTGGAGTAGTTTCCCAATAAACTTTGATCCTGTCCTGACAAATTGCTTTTTCATGCATAACTATTTAGCACAAAATGTGACCAATAATAGCTTTTCTTATAAGCCAAACAATGGAGTATTATTCAACCTTAGGTGACCTCAGGACACATGATATGGCTAAATATGATTTGTCTCCAACATACATATTTACTTCATTAACATTTCTCAAAAATAAAAACATTAAGGTGAGCATCATATATGCAGGTACATGTATGTTAATCTGACACAATACAAAAGAAACAATCGGATTAAAAAAAATCTCAGAACATTATTATGAGATGTGCATAATTGACTGTCTGTCAGGCAGATGCATTTTATTGCATTTACATGTAGGGAAACTGTCCGTGCTATTCTTTTAATGATAATAAACATATAAAGAGATTAGACAGAAAAAATTATATTTAGAAATTTGATGTAAGTACTTGTGTATATAAAACCACTTTTCGTCAACTTCTTTAAAAGTAAATATATATATGTAGTTTCTATATGTATTTACATATTTACTTTGCAAATCATTTTATCTCCATTTCATTTTTTTTCTTGTTGTTTTTCATAAAAAATGTTTAAGAAAAAATAATTTTTGAACATTTTATCGGTAAGAAAAAAATGGATTCAAGTTATTAAAATTTACTCATTATGTTTTCATATGCCATGTTTTGCAAGCATTTAACAACTATGTCAACATTTCTATCTACAAACCATATCATATCAGAAAGATACATGTAAAAAAAAAAAACATTTACTAAATTGTACAATACTTCACATATAAACCTTCTTAAAAATAATCAGTGGGATTAGAGATCAAAGACGGAAGCTTTTGTTCAGCCCATATAAAATGATACTCAAATAAGTGATCTGAAAAATGTTTTTGCATTTAGTGCTTTGAAGCTGCAGTTTGCATTTAGGAAAAATATCAAAGATGACATGAAAATCCCTTTACATGAAGTATTTTTCACTAATAACCCATCCCATGCACCTTTAAATTAAGTACAATTTGTTGACTTGAAAAAATCTTCATTTAATATACCCATTATTCGGTATGTTAACTACATGTATATTAACTAGTCAAAATATAATACACTTACTTATCTAAAAGCTGGTAGAACTGGTCATCATTCAGGAAGTAATTCAGGTCCACCAGTACTTTCTGTATTTCACTGACAGACAAGGATCCTTTTTTCTTGGTATCATACTTTTTAAAGGCAGCATACATGTTGTCATATTGGTCACGGAAACGATCCCTAAATGATGAATTGAAACATCAATAAATGCATGTTCATATATTGATGTGAACTTTATCAAAATATACCATGCATAATACTTTAATAGATATACATCAAAAATGAAAAATGAGAATGAAAAGCATGATTAATATTTCAATTATTACAAAATAGAATTTTATTTAGAAAGTGTCCATTAGTAAGGCAAAATATTATTTTAAAAATTATTTTATGAATATTTACCTTGCTTGATATTTTAATATTTAAAAACTTTGATATAAAATAACCATATTATGTATTTAAAAAAGGTGTCTCCCGCAATTTTCATCTTGATCAAGAATACAGTGATTGCAATGATTTATGCAAAACAACCTACCTTAATTCTCTTTCCACTTCATTCACAGACATCACAGCCGTCCTCTCTGCCTGGTGCTGCGTGATCCTCTCATGTTTTGCTTGCTGCTGTTGATGGTGCAGGTCCAGAGCTTTGTAGCTGTTGTCAACTATCTTTCTGCTGGTCCCACCCATGTCCCCAGGGGCAAACTCAGCCGCTCCCAGTTTCTGCAGGAAGTCTTGATGGGTAACATATCCTTTACCTTCACTGTCATATCTTGCCCAGAGCTTCTTAAACTCTTCTTTGTCCATGTGAAGAATAAACCTGGCCAATGTTGAGCGAAGCTCCTTCTTTGTTATTATGCCATTTCCATTTTTATCCATTGAGCAAAATGCCTATAGCAAGGAAAAAAAGAAATAATTACGTGCTGCTGAACTGCTTGTATATTGTCTTGATTAATAGAGGGGCTAAAGGCTTCAGCACATCAGAAAAATTTTCAAACTGATTCTTAAATATATATAAAATTTGTTTTGAGGTCACATATTTTGTTTATCTGAAGTTAAATGATATGTCATTTTTCATGGCATTATTTCATGCATCTTTAGTATGATGATAATTATTAAGAGGATCCATCCCTTTTAAAGATTCAAAATCACATAAAATCTGAATCCAACATCCAACACTCACCGTGGAAAGGTCTTTCCACTGAGCATGAACTTTTTGAGCTAAAATATCATGCACTGTATCTGCTTGGAGGAGTTCTGGGTAATATGTATCATTGAACCTAAAAAGTAAATGAAATAATTCCCAATACATGTTGCTGAAAGCAGATAAATGCATAACTGAACTATCTGGTCTGGTGAGAGTTTTCTCCTTTCATTTTTTAAAAATATCCTACTACTGATACATGTAGAATAAAGAATGCATCAGATGTTCCAATAAAATGAAACCACCTTTAAAAAAGTGTTAAACAAGTGTTACTAAATTTCCTAATGTCAGTTACCTGTGATCCGAATTGAGCCATTTGTGTCCTTCAGGTGTGTCTCTAATCTCAAAAGCATCCAGGAAATCCCGGTAACTTAATTTGGTCTGTTTGGTGAATCCCAATCTTTGACATAATCTCTCAAACTCTTTGTCTGGCATGATGAACATAAAAGCATCTAGCAGACGACGGAAATTTGCTTTTGTTAAAAGGCCATTATGATCATCATCAAACTTGTAAAACGCACCCCTAAGGTCCTGTAAAGCAGAAGGAATATCTCAGTTATTCTCAATATAAATAGTTGCAACAAGAATATCAAGATATACAATAGTGCATCTTCCATAAAAAATGCTGAATATTAATCCAAATAATCATTATGTACTACAATGAATGATGAACTTGTTATATTCAAAATTATTTTTTCATCATTTGAGCTAATAATAATGATGCACTAACATGTATTTGTATAAACAATATCATTATGTTGAATATATATGGTACTAGTATATAATATTATATATAAATAAATGATTTTCAAAACCATATATGATACTCACGGCAAAGTTTTCCTTAAGTTTACCGAGAAACTTTGCTTCTACTTGTTCAGCAGTCATTCCCACTTCATCTCCCCTGATGGGGTTCACCCTGTGGTTAGGCTGATGGACATTGCCAGGGGATGCATCACCAATCCTGGGGTCCTCAAATGCCATTACAAAGTCTGTGTATGAAAGGTGCCCCTTGTAAAACCCAAGCTTTTCTGTCAAATTCTTGAAACATTCATCTGACATGACCATGCCAAAGCTGCTAAGAACCTGTAAGAATTTAAAAAATAACCACTCAATTTAATCAAAAAGGAATACTGACCATTTATAGCGTACTAAAATATATTTCTATCTTCAATGAACTGTAAGCAGTTTTTCTCAAAAAATTTAAGTCATAAAATTATTTGGTATCTTCATAAAATCATCAATTTTTGTAAGTCAATAGAATTTACATGTGAAATACAATGTAAATGCATTATTTGTAATCACTTACCTCCCTGAAAGACTTCTTTGAAATTTTGCCTTTGCCCTTTTTATCAAATGATAAAAAGGAGCGTCTAATTTCTTGATTGTGTTGAGCCATTCTGTCTTTCAGCCTCACAATCACCTCTTCAGGAGTCATGGCATTTGTTCTATCTAGGTTTGCCTTGTTTTCAAGTGCTTGTCTACAAAACAAAACAAATTAAAAAAAGCCCCAGTATTAGAGAATCCTTTTCTAACAAATTAATAGTTTTAATCTAAAAATCATCTGCGCTCCTTTAAATTCTTTTTGATGTTTTACCTTAGGGTTGACGTGATAACCATTTTATCATTTTTCCTTTGATCTTATGTAAAATCACGTTTATGAGAAGTAATATGCAACTTCCCTTTTCTGTGTAATCTTTCAAAGTATTTCACGTACAGAGTGCATTGTTATTTGAGCAGACATGTACATGTATCAATAGTTTACATACCTTTCCTGCAGGTCAGTTGCACGCCTGAGTTCCTCCTGCTTACTGCCCTCAGTGATTTGAGTGCTCAGTCCCACAACATCCCCTGGCTTCACGTCAACACCCAAACGGATCATGAACTCAACATAGTTCACCTTATCATTGGCATGGCTCTCACACCTACTCAGCATGCTACAGAAATAGAGAAATTACAATATTGATTACAACATATCTTTTGTCTTCACACATTCATTGTATCACTGGGCACAATTTCCACCTAACATTGACTTATGTCTAGGATCAAGAATAAAAAAAATTAAGGTCTAGCAAAAAAGCATAGTGTATATATCTTTAGACGTAGCTGTAGACTGTGCAATTAACCATTATTTGACTCACAGTACTTTGATCCTTCAGGTACATACTGCAATTCACAATCTCATTTATTTTCAAAAGTGAAAATCTAACGTATATCATTTCTCGATTAAGATAAAAATACCATACTTACTTTGCAAAATGTTCTTCTGACACAGGCAAACAGAACTTATCCAGTATCCTGCGAAGTTGTCCGTCTTGTATCATACCATCTCCCCTCTCATCATACGCAACCAGTGCCACAGAGATAGGACGCCAGTTGTCTGTGGCCTTGTCACGCAGGATCTCCTCCACCTAAAAAAATAATACATACATAGAGTACATGATAGTGCAACATAGCAGGTTGAATCCACAGTATATCCATACATGTAACGATACATGTCTGCCTCTCATGTACATGTACTCGGATATATAAAGCCTGAAAGTACTAGTGAAAGTAACTCTTCTACAATTAAGTCTACATTCCTGTAGAAAAATGTAAAACCTGAGACCTAAATGCAAAAGGGCAAGTATTGGTAGTATACATGGTGCACTGTATGATGAGTTTGAAATGGAGGCTTCATTTACAGTATGTATAAGCATGAACAGATACACCCTTTTTGAATAATGTGCTTCAAGGGAAAAAAGGAAAAAGAAAAAACTTACTGTTTCCCAAGCCAATATTGTAGGTCTAGGATGGTTGTTGAATCTGTGAACAGAATTTAGCCATTTGTGACCCTCCTGCAAAAGTCAACAAAATAATAATAATAATAATAATAATAATAATAATAAATAAATAAGAAATAAATAAGTAGGTTCAGAAATTGTTTTTTCTTACAGTTAGTGATAAATGACTTCCCTTAAGAGCACACCACAAAACCCATTTTAACTTGAATCATTTGTAATTATGTGACATGTATTTAATCTATTAAATCCATGCAAACACAAAAAATGATGATAAATTGTTAATCTATGTTAAGTTGCCTTTACTTACCTTAGTTTCTCTTGGTTCGAATAACTGTAGGAATTTTAGATATGAGATGTAGTTAGTTTTGTTGGGGTCAAGTCTATCACACATCAGTTGGAACTCATCGTTGCTCAACTTGATTTTGAAATTCTTGATAATTTTTTTGAACTCCTTTCTTGTTATTCTGCCATCACGATTCTATAACATAATTACAAACAGGTTATTAATCAACAATCCAATATCTTTTCAGGGTATAAAACATAATTTCTTAGCAATTAGAATAAATGCACCCCCCCTCCAATTTTTTTAAACTTCTTTTCAAGTTGGTAATTAATTATTTTCTTTTTACTTAATAGCTGACTCTTTTAATATTTTTACTCTTGTCCTTATTTCACTGTTAATATTAGTATTTACCTGATCAATTTGCAAAAATGCATTCTTAAAGCTGCTGTAACCATTTTCAATCTTGTTACGAAGAAGAGATAAGATTCCATCAGCATCCATCGTTTCTTCAGTTTCACGAATTGGGAAGTACCTTTAAAAGATGCAATCAGCTGTCATAAGACAAGTTTTTCTAAGAATTTTTGCTGTGTTTGTTGAAGTCGTAATTGAAATAGCATATGCACACATGTTCAGAATAAATGTATGTTTCATTATGGATTAAACCTACAATACAGTAGTTTATTTAACTTGTTAATAAAAGAACTACAGGCAGTCTCTCTCTCTTTAAAAATGTGCCTACCAATTTTGAATAACCCTGTATGGTACTTACTTATGATTTACTCTCATTGGCACAGTTTGTCCATTGCCAGAACCCTGAGGATCTTGAAACTTGTCCAAAAACCACTCCCACTGAATTTTACCTGAAGCCTTGACAAGACACCTGAATAAAAGAATAATTGCACACAATAAAAAAGACAATGAAAAATGAGCTTTCAACTGCACACTGTTTTTACTATTCACATATTTCTAACTTCACAACTGTATAACTGTCTTTAGGCCTATAATTTTTAATAATCATTCACATCAAATTTCTGAATAGAACCAAATAAACAAACTCTTTACCTTCAAAACATTGTGTAGGCATCTTTAAAATAATAGATTCTATACTTAGCATGACAAGTCTGAACAACATGTAAAATACCTTTCCATGAGTTGTTGAAAGAGCTGGTCAGACATGGGAACAGTGAAACTGATTAAGATTGATTTTAGATCTTCTAAATCAACAAATCCATTTTTCTCTGCATCAAATGCTAGGAAGGCTCTTTTTAAATTGCCATAATTGCTTCTCATCTGAAAAAAATTCAATGGAAATAATAATTACCAGCAGTATGTATATATTTTGTGTAATTATCTTTCAATTCAAAAATGTTTAAAAGTACAAAAAGAATATGAAAAAGAACAGAACAGTGTATCTTAAACAACTAGTACCTTTTTCCTGAACTCTATTTCTATTTGGTCAAAATTAAGTCCCTTTAATGCATTATCCCTATCTTCAAAGATTTTTCTCCTGTATTCTTCTAGTTTGGGCTTCAAAGGTGCTTGATCCCAGACCATAGCTGTAAGAAAAATACAAAAATGTCATTTAACATTATAACTGATTAAGAATATTGTCACCCTTCACCCAAACCTTCTTATTTACTGCCTTACATGCATCCTTTTGGGTAATAAATAAATCTTCAGGGTTCAGTGACTAAATTAATTAACATTTATACATATGTCATGTTACAGGTGACGTCATAATTGTGATTTTGGGGTAAAAACTGAAAGGTCAGTTTCTCAAATTTCTCTTTTACCTGAGCACCCAAGATCATCATTTCATTGCCGATTTAATGGCACCATTTAGTAGTCCAAAATCCTGCCAGCAATGTTTCTTAAAAGTCTCAGTTCAGATTTTATCGTTGATAAGGCAAAATAATGCCTTTGTTTAATGAAAATATGTAATTAGAGGCTCATAACTTCACTTCATTTAAACCAAAATAATGGCACGGGATTGTAGCCTATACATTCCTGGTCAACTCTGCCAATTTTCATAATAAAATCCCATTCAGAGAGGAAGTTACACCCCATACCGATTGCTATCACACCTCAAAATAGAAAGGTATGAAACTGAGGATTAAAGCTTTGAGTTGCTTATGCTTATTCATTGCAACGAAAAATTATAAACGCCAATATTTTATATTTTCAAGAGTTTTTTCATTGTTTTAAATCAGCACAAAGAAAAAAGCATTATTGAAAAATTAGATGCAGGAATAAACTCATTTTTGGCATCTGATTTATAATAAAGGGTAACAATATCCTTTAGTGGATTTTTTTTATGTTTCAACTTCACAATTATATATGCATAACATAATAAAACATTTTTCAAAAATTAACAATGTCTGTTTGACTGTCCCCCTCTGTCTGCCTTTATCTGTCTCTTATCTGTCTCTTATCTTGTCTGCCTGCCTGCCTGTTTGTGTCTGTCTGCATGTACGTCTGTCTCTCTGTCCATCCGTCCATCTGTCTGTCTCTTAAACATTTAGATATCCATTTGTTTGGCTGTCTTAAATCTGTAATATAGGTACAAAGTGTGTGTGTGTGTGTGTGTGTGTGTGTGTGTGTGTGTTATCGATGCCATACCTCCTTTTGTACCCTGTGGCTCCTGTGGTTTTGTGGTTGTATTCTCCACTCTGACACCCAACCTCCGCAGAAAGTCAATATAATCCACCAAGCCACTGTGATGGTAGTCATACCTCTGCCAAAGCCTGATTAATCATATTATATACTGTTAAAATCAAGCACAAAGGCAATTGGCAAGGCATTTTTGGCTGTGAATTTCAATATTATATTATGTTCATTGCATAAATTTGGTTGAAGGTTCAAAAATTTAATTGACACAACAAAGTAAATCAATTTTATTAGCAAGTCAATCAATAAATAAAAGTATTATTCCGTTTTTACAGTACTAACTAAAATTGACAGAGAGCCCATAACAAAATCCAAGTTTATGTCTTTTAGAGTTTAAAAGCTCAATAACATGTTGATTTATTTTAAAACTTTGACCAATCTAAAAATGCCTTAATTTGTTTTCTATGAAACATACTTGTCAAACTGCTGATCAGTTATTTTGAAGCAGTAATTCTCCAGGACCTTCCTGAGGTCATGACGTTGTACCTTGCCATCTCTGTTATAGTCAAAGAGATGGAAGGATTTGACAATGTTTCTCACATTTGGCACAAGCTGGAAAAAAAAGATACAATTTGACTTTGGATGATTGAATGTACAAGGAGCTTTATTCCGCACCAGCCTACCAAATGAACACTCACACAAAGGAGTATCTTAAAAGCTCATTAGTTTTGCTGTCCTAATATTTTTGTTCATCTTGTTTAAAAATTGGCTTAGTTACAGGTACATTAATCAATGCCAGGATCATAGCCGGATATTGAAAGGAGCCAAAGTGCCCCATCCCCCGCTACAGGGGTCTGGACAGTTTATTTTGGGGTCAGTCTAAGTACATGTACTAATGTTAATCTAGAGAATTTTTACATAGAATTAAGTGTTTCATTTTCTTCCACATACATGATGTAGTTATGGTTAGGAGTGGACAAGCTTTACTTTACCAAATGATATCATGCAGTGTGTGTACAACTTTGGTAATAGTAATTAATAGAGCACAGACAGATAACTAACCTTGTCCCTCAACATTTTCTCTAATTGGTCTATATTCATATGCTCCTTGGGGCCTTGAGTTTGCATATATCTACAATAAGAAAAAAATTAAGTCAAGAAAATATTACCATACTTTCTTATAGTAGTTCACATTTAAGAGCACATTCAGAACAAGATGATCTGTGGACTAACAGATCCACGGACTAAAATATGGGCAACCCCACTCAGAAGGAAGCCCCCTAATTCTTCTTTCATGTGGGGTCCACCATATTTGATCCGTAGATCAGAAGATCCTCAGATCTTCTGTTCTGAATGGCCTCTTAGCCCTCTGTTCTGAAAGCACTCAAGGTCATCACATAGATTATAAAGGTATAAAAAAAAACCCTGAATGATCCCCTGTGAAGTTTACTGAAGTTACCGAGGTGAAAAGAATATCATAAATCTTATGTCTACAAAAACTAACATAAATTTTCTATGTATGTTCATGTATCAGTATAGAATCTGCTTACTTATGTGTTCCACTGATCCATTTCTCTGATTTCATTGGCTCATGTCCATGGAACTTATCAAGGAAATCACAGTATTTAACAGTGCCATTTCTGCTTAGTTCAACCTTAATAGAAAAAAGAAGTAATGAATAATAATGCATATGCGTAATAATAATAAGAAAATTTTTGTTTTACTGTTAGTACTACTGTTAGTAACTACAGAATTCTTCAGTTAAGATTATTAACTTAAGTGATTTTTTTTACAAAAACTTTCAAAATGTATAACACATTGAAGCACTTATTCTTACAGAAATTAACTTTTGTTCCTTATGACTTCTCATCAGAGAAAATGACAAATTGTAAACTGATCATGTCATTTAGATAGTCAGAGAACCTGACAACAATANTGTACATGTATCAGAACAGTTAATGTACATGTATCAGGGGCGGATCCAGAGATATTTTCTGACAGTCTTCCAGATTATCTTTGTTGATCCATCCTCCATTTTGACCGTCTTTCCGACAGAAAAAATTAAATAGGCCTACCCGTCACATGATGTTAACTTAAAAATCTGACCATCTTCCAGAAGACCCAGAAGACGGCCTAAATCCGCCCCTGTGTATATTACCTTGGCGATGATTCCATTAAATTGTTCTGTTGTCAAGGGAAAACAGAAAGACTCCAAAACTCTCCTGAACTCGCCCTTGGTAACTGCTAGACTCTGATCTATATCATAATTCTGGAAGGCCTGTAGATTAAACACAGAGAATTAATGACTTACATTAAATATAATTGTTTTACAGCTAAATTACTTTTGAAAAACCTATTAAACTATAAGGACTTTTAAGTTTGTTAAAACAAACATTTCAAGTTACTAGCAATTATCTTGCACTCAAAAGGCAGTATTGTTTCAGTGCTTTTTTTACCTGGTGCAATGCATCATATTTAGTCTTGACTTTTTCCCTGAGCAAGGATTCCACTTCAATAACTGATAAACTAGGGTTAGCATTTGTCATAGCAGACGTGGCTGAATTATTTCCTTGGGTGCCTGAAATATTCAATTGTAATTAGCAAATGTGTACAAATATAATGACAGAAGTTATAATGAGAAGGAGTAGAAACGGGACATCAATTATCTCTCTCGTCCAATCAGATCGCAGCATTCTTTTCAAAGCGGCGTCCTTTGAAATTCGATCCTCGTAACTGGTCTAATCCTCCGCTCGCCTCCGCGTGACTCAAGACGGAGAAGCTGAACCAGTGCGTATACGTCTTGATTTATTCATGTTTAATGCGAATATTTGGAAGTTATACTTAGAAAAACGCCAAGTCGAGCGACANTTTAAGTCACATATGTCATTCTTCACAATAAATTGCAGTCAAAAAACCCCACAAACTTTAATATAGACATATCTCTAAAATCATTTCAAGTTGTAGTTTAACAGTCCATATGAAGTTACAATGTATGTAATACATTGGATGTTTGTATAAAGGAAAACATATTTACTGGTACACTGGATTTGATGCTGCCTAACTTTGTGAATGTTTGATAAGAGTTTTTGAAAAAAAAAAAAAGACACCATCAATATGCAGATAAACCCTTGTTGAATCTCTGATTTATAACAGAAATCAACTTCTTACCAACTGTTTGTACATCAGGTTTCTGCTGTTCTAGAGCATGGCGACCCTGGGGTATCACCTTCAGTTGGGTGCCTGTCCTCAGTGGCAGTGCTGGTCTCTCAGTAAAAGTTGCCCCTTGTGTTGCAGGGCGCAATCCTGGCATAACTGCGCTCGCAGCCATGACTCAATTCTAAAATGAAGAAATGAAAAATGTTGAACTGGCATTTAATGAGTGATATACTTTTATAAAACTGAATGTGTAAGATCCAGCAGTAAACATACATGTATAGGCAAAGGCTGTGGCTACATTGTAAAGTGGCAGCAGCAGAATTATGATTTAGATTTTTTTTTAATGCATGGAAGCGACACCAATTTTAAATTAAGTATCAAAATGCGCATCTTTCGAGATCTTATCAAAACTTTAGGATTACATACATTTATATGTGTATTATTACACACATTTATATTATATTATTAATAATACTTACTTGTCGAGAGAGTACCCTATAATTATTAATATCATTAATATTTTAATCAATCAATTCATTTGAATTTTAATGTACTTTTTTCAAACACAAGACTTACCTGCAGTTTGAATTAATATATTGTCTGATACACCGGGAACTTCAAAAGTTGTTCCCTGTCATCATCAGTAGTGAAACAACCATCCTCACGCTCCTTGCGTGTTATGGTAGTGCACGTTGCTATGTAATCGATTCATGAATGGAGGTCGTTGCCATATTGTCATGTGGTCGTCTTGCCAAGAAAAGCCATAATCCAAGTTTAATGTTGTGCATTCCTAAATTAATGTTTAATAATAACTGATATACAGCTTTAAATATCTCATTAATGCTTATGCAATTTTAATCACAAGAATATAGTGGGTTATATTTAAATTCTTTGATCGCCTCCTTTCTGTGCTGTCTTGAATACATGAATACCATGTGACGCCGCTTTTGCCTTAGATTTATATATCGCCGTATTTAGAATAATAAAAGATCGATGTAGGCCCCTATATCTCTGAGATTTTGAGAAGATAAAATCATACTCTTATAGCAATTCTGGTTTTTAAAAATCATATCTACAGGCCATTAGTACACCGGATCTGAGTCTCAGTGCCTAATATTATAAAGTTAATTTATCTATATTATAGCCTACATCGGAGTTCTTACGGTCTTGTAACGTGACAGAGTCCCCCATGACAGAGAGTCCGCTTCCCATTCATTTGTACAGATAAGCCTCGCCCTAGATTTTGACCCACTTAGGTCAGGCTAACCCTAACCATAATAACTACATGGAGGGCGGACTCTCCGTTACACGGATCCTTAGTTTCGTTACATCGGCCTTTGTAATTAGCCGCTGTACACCTGGCTAAGTGATAAAATCGTCCTTAACTGCCGTTCGCTATCTGTGATTGGGAGTCTTACAGCAGACTCATTTGTTTACCTGGATGAGCATAATATTCACATCTCCTGGAAGAAAACGTCCTCAGCAACTTATTTTATCAAAGAAGGTGTTAATTGTACTAATAACTGCTGATGTTGCATTACTGGCAAATGTGACGGGTAAACTTTAGGCTGGATTATACCAGTAGTGTTTTTCTCTGAGTCAGTCATACACCGGTGATGCACGTACAAAAGCAAAATGGTGAAAGCTTGCCGTGTACCAGACCGCACTGCCAACACATTTTAAAAATCTGACAGGATTTTTTTAATTCCCAAAGATGAACAGAGGAGGGAGCAACCGTTGCAGGCTATAGGTTGTGCATACGTGACTAAAGACGAAGTTGTTGATCAAGACAAAATTTGGTCCCCTAGCTCCTATAAGATTTGTGTATGCGTTTTTCAAAACCTGTAAATTTTATTTATCTAAATTGATTAGTTAACAAGTAAAACTGGAAAAAGGGGTTGACATAAATAAAGCGACCTTATAAATGGTCAAATAACATATCTTTATTACTGTTTGCTATTCAATTTAATAATAAAATTTTGAAACTTTGCGCACTGCTTTCCATGCTATTTTGACAAATTTCGTATCAGAAAATTGCACATCTAATTTGTATTTAAACATATCACGCGAAGCTGCTTATATAAATACTGGTGACACCAGTGTCTTCTCTACCTAAAAGTCGACAAGCAAGTGTTTATGCTGTCCTCCCGGGCTTGAATATTAATACATGTTTACAGGCCAAAAGAAGCCATGGGACCGAAGCTAAAGCCTTGATAACATCGCCCCCACCGTATTCCCTCTGGCTTTACCAGCACCATGTGATTAAATCACAGTTTGTGGAAATCTTATAATAATGATGATTATTTTACATTTAATAACTTCTTAGTGCTGCACATCTTCCATGTCTTCCTAGCGTACCGCATTTGAAAAAAAAAAAAAACATTTATTTCACCACCACATATACTGTAAGGATTGACACTTTCGTAACCAGTAACACAGTGGCTAATTGCAAAGGCCTGTAAAGGAAATCATCCAGGTTAATGCACTGAAATTAATTATTCTCATACATCATCTTTTAAAATGGACTGGCTCAGTGGCGGATTTAGGGGGGTGGGGTCAGGTGAATCCTGACCCTCCCCCTTCGATTTCTGAAAAAATCACACCTTCAATCCCCTCTTGAAATTAAAATTTTGCCTAGCTGAATCTTAGTTCTAAACCGTACGAAATGGCATCGTTCACTCTCTAAAATTCCAAAAATGTTCGGGGCTCTTATGCAGCCCCAGAACCCCACCCCAAAGGGAAGGGGGAGGGTCGACTTTACATCTGCGCCCCCCCTCCCCTTAATTTATCCTGGAGCCGCCCCTGTGGCTATTTTAATAGCAAATGAAATTGTTGTTTTGTATCACAATTTTGTTTTGTACCCCCCAATATGGTCAAATTTACCAGCGTCATGGAAAACAAAAACTTGGTGGATCAACAGTTATAAAGGGGGTAAAGAGGCCTGTTACAATTATAGATTAAAGTACGTGGCACACCACTCCAAACCACTGAGGCACGGCCCTGCTTTAAATTAGCAGTGTATTTCAGCGTCTTTTCTAGCCCCTGACTGCCTCAAATCTTGAATAATTACGCCTCACGTAAGATCAACTAACGTTAACAACGATGAGGGTCCCACTGGGTATTTTCGTTATCCGTGAAAACCACTTTTTATTTCCCGAGATGAGTGAAATTATCATTATTACTTAGGGTGATCCGTGGAACACCCAATTCCTGCGACTCCTGAATGCGGCTTTTTTATTGCTCGTCCTTCCTGAAACGAAGTCATTATACCCGTTGATTTGTGATTTTCCAGGGTTGTTGACTCGCATTATCAGTGAGATATGAATAAAGTTCCATTTACTGTGGTTTGTGAATGGATTGTTTCATTTCCCGTGAACAGTGATCACTCACTACCCCTCCAATGGGACCCTCAGTGATTTAATGGGATATTTAAATCGAAATTACATAATATTATGGCATTGTCATTTCCCCACTAAAAATTTTCAAGAAACTGTTTATTCTGCAATTGTTATTTTTACCTTGGGATACAACAACTGCAACCCTGGGTAATCTACCTGCCCCTGCTAATCAATGTCAACCTCTGTCGCAAGACAGAGAAGACGAAAGAAAATTCTTGTAAAATATTTGTTACACATCTTTTTATTGGTCCATGTTTCATCCTCCAACCAATGAGAACGACCGTTTAATATGGATGCCTGCACTTCCACCACCATAAAATGAGACAGCTCCAGGACCGCTGCAATCTTTCCACATTGGACCATGGTTGTGTTTACCCTGACGGTCATCAGGCAGTAAGTATATCGTGCTAAGAGTATTTTGCAATATGTTGCACGAAAATCTACTGAAACATGCAGGTTTGGTCGCTATTTTCTTTACCGGAGAAGGTCCGAAAAATGTGGACCGTGCTGCTGCCCGACCAGGCTACTTGTAATGTTAACCAGGTGTCAGTGGGTCAAGGGCGTACGCCCACTGTAAAAAAAGGAATATCCGGCCTAGTGCCTCGTGCCGTCATGAAGCGCAGGGTGGGTGTGGGGTAATGGTAGAAAAGAGTTTCTAAGGAAAGAGAAGTGAAGGGTTGTATATATTGCTCGGAAAAAATCGCGCACATACTGTTGCATGCACAATAAATGGGGTAAGTGCACACATGAAGTTGAAATCTACCCTTTTTATTGTACAACCTCACGTCCGGTACATGTACATCTGCGTGGGCCTAAGACAAGTACAAACTACAATGCATAGATCCTGCATACAGTGCAGAAACAGTAACTTAAATCTTATGACCAACACCATAAAGTAAATTCTTATAATTAACATGTTTCAACTCATGTAAGTGATTTCTCTCTTACACTGTTTTAGAGTATAATACTAACCCCCCCCCCCAAAAAAAAAACTTTTTGCAATTACCCTGTACCTCTATATATTCGGTGATATGCCTTTCCAAATCTCCATTCCTCTTATAGTAATTTTATTTTGTTTTATTTTTGCTACCTGTTTTTTTTTTTTTTTTTTTTTTTTTTTTTTTTACATTTTGATGTGGTTGCTGCATTTTTTTTAGGGGGGGCAATCTACACATCAGTAAGCATTAATATTCTTCTTGCTCTAATCCAACAGTCAAATTATTTTTATCGCTTTACTATTATGCGATGTCTGAATTTAGGGTCTAACAGTTTAAAGGAATTGAGGTTGAAGTTTTGTAGGTACTGTTTGAGTGTAAAACATTTTAATTGTTCACCAAATTTTGGGTTCATAAGTTTAATTATGAAAGCATTTGTTTTAAAAGTTATTTCAAATTGTTCACAAAATTCCAACATTTGTGTAAGCTTATATTGTGCTGAAATACTGATGAGACCCAGAGATAAATCGTTATATTGCCTTACTTCATTTTAAGATGCTTAATATCATTATGTGCCTGGAATTTTTTAACAACTGTGTGCCTGGATTGGACTTCAAAAAGCCAACATAAATTAGACCCATGGCTGCTGTACATATGCCAGCATAGAAGTAAATTAAGTTGACATGCTGTGTTGCTTTAAGCCTTAGAAGGGTCTATGGAGTGGTGGTTTTTCCTTTTCTTGTGTCCTTGGTGGAAAAAAGGAATTGAACCTTTATTTGAAAATAAAGCTTATTAACATTTGTGTCACTGCCCTCTAACAAACAAGGCTCGGTATACTGTTTGGTAAATTGTTTAACGGTGGCCTTTTGTTACGCCTTCTGCATGTAACATATATATAGTTTGCAGACTAGTGGAAGCAGTAGTCACCATTTTTCTCAGGTTACAAGGTTTTCTATACAAATGAATGTGGAAATGGGCTGTAAATTTTCCTGATCATATGCCAAAGTTAATATGTGCAAGTCTTGGCATGTGTGCTGACGTTAGGAATCATATTGATTTTTAAGCATCAACAGAATAGTAGTTCTTAATTGGAATTTATACATTTAAAAGGATATATTTCAGTTTAAAGAGCTAGTCTGTTTATCTGTGATGATAGTTGACTCTGAATGCTAAAAATCTAGAAGGAAAGTATTATTTTACCACCAGCCTGCAATATAAAAAGCTCCCTTTATGTATTTTATTTTGAAACAATAGTATCCACAGTTTCTCTCTTTTACCTTTTCTGCTTTCAAAGAGATAGAGTGCAAGAGTTGGTTTGAGAACTGTGTATTTGTGGTCCTTGTGGTGCACCACCAAGCTTGAAGTATGACCTGTTATATAGACTGTATTTGTTGACCTATGTGATTAAGTGACTTCTACCTTATTACATGCTAAGTGATATGTGTAATTTCATAGGTGAAGCATTTAGTTGTAGAGAATACTTATCATTAAATTAAAATTAAATAGCTAAGCATTTGAAAGTTCATTTATGTCCATTTGTGTAGATGATAAATATATTTGTGTTTTATATTTTTCAGTTCATAAGGCATTCTTATTAGAATAAATGTGTCAATGGTGTGCAGCCAAAAGAATTAAGTGGCATTGCCCTTATCCAGGCTTTAGTGGAACACGATAAAAGTATTGTTAGTACCTTCATAACAAATATCGCTCACAATTTTAATTATTGTTATTAATTTATTATTTTTGTCACATTCACATGGTTAATGTACAGTGTTTCTTTTCAGTGGGGAAACAATTGCTAACCAGAAGGGTATCATCCAAGGTAAAATCTCTTTTTTTAGCATTGTATACTTTTTGAGAGTTCCTATTATTGACATTTTATTTATTTTAATTTTGTTTTGTTATCTTGGTTGTCACATATACATTTTACATATAAGCAGTCTGTAACAACTATGATTTATATAAAAAAGTATGCTAAGTTAGAGTAGTTCCATTGAAAAAAAAGTATTTTGTTTACTTTCCATTTCCTGTCTTCAGGTCAGTCAGATACAGAGCTTTCAGATGTTGGTTTGAAGCAGGCCCAGTTAGCAGCCTCCAGGTTGCAGTATGAACCTTTCACGCATGTCTTCTCCAGTGACCTTTCTAGAGCAAGACAGGTAGCAGCAGCAATATGTATTACATATATGCACAAAGGCTCCCATTTATGACATTTTAAAGAAACCATAAACCACTTACTGCTAAAGAAAAAGTAAAAAAAAAGATAAGAAATGCGTTTTTGTAATATTGGAACTCTGCATGTACTGCATGTGAATTACCACCCCCTTCACTGGTCTGCTGATACCAGTGGTCCTATATTGTTTCTGAAAGTTGTAAGCTCATGAGCCAGTTACAGAATTATAAACAGTAATTTTTTTTGTACTTCAGACTGCCCAAATCATTGTGGAAGGCAGCAAAGCTTGCAAATGTCCCATCAGCCAAGATGCTAGGCTGAGAGAAAGGGTAATGGGTATATAAAAAGTGACAATAATTATAATGACCTATCAGCAACAAAAATAAGACCCAGAAAAATGTTACAACATTTGGTCAGTCTGTCCACATATTGCTACAATATTTCTTTGTCATGTTGACGCTTTTGGTGCATAAATGTAGTATTGCATAGGAAAAGTTACCTTTTAGATACCTTATACATATACAAAAATGTGAATTACCACCAACGAACTTTTACAGGTGTGTTTTAGAGAGTATTTTAACTTATTCAGTAACTGTTTGGTATGGACGCGCAACTGTGGAGGAGAGGAACAAGTTGGAAAAGATCGTCGAAACTGCAGGGATTGTAATTGGAACAGATCTAACTCCCGTCCATACTATATATCTAGACAGGACTAAAAAGAAAACATTATCAATAATGACAGACAGTTCCCATCCAGCCCATACCCTTTTTAAATTTTTACCTAGCAATTCGAGACTCTTAGACCCCATTTCCAGAGATTAGATCGATCTACTTTAGATCGACCTAACTCCCTGGGGGTTCACGCTAAATAGCTGTCAGCCGAGCGAACACGAAAGTTAATTACCCCCTTACAGCTTGTAGTAGGCGGGACGGACATTTAAGCCGGATTATCTGACAGTAATCTAGTGAGACTCCCCGCGGGGATAGATCGATCTAAAAGCTCTGGGAATACAGCCTTAGCTTTTAAAGGTAGTAAGTGATTTTTAAATAGCTTTTATCCTTCAGCAGTAACTATTTTTAACTCTAACATGTAATTTTAATTTTCATTCTTTATATTTCAATGGCGCTACTACAGGGCAAAAGATTCCCGATTTTATACATTTGTATTTTATTGGCTTAATAAATTATTATTATTATATAACTATTCAAATTTTATTAAATTTCCACATTGATTTGCAGAAGCATAAACATGTTGATCTATTTACTTGTAATTATTCTGTGAAATAATCTTAATTCTGACTCAGATTGAAAAGAAGATGGAGGTTGTTTAAACTGCATCCCAAAGGTGTTATAGAAAGTCACTTAAGCAGTGTTTTGGCACAGAAAGGCAGTGTTTGTTGATTAAAATCATGTAATTGAGTTTTAATTGTCTACCTGTATATAAATGATAAAAATTGGAACATGCTGACTACTCCATTAACTTGTCAACATACAATATATCCATACATGATGTGGGCTATTAACCGCACGTGTTAGGTAACCACAATCACTGGGACAGAAGAGGGCACAAGTCCTCTGGCAATAATTGTGGTTAACCAAGTCTTTGGTCTGTTTGATGTAATTGTGGCTAAAAGTTACTTTATCATGACATTAATTGAATCACTAGCAACCTGTAAATTGGAGTGATATATATATATATATATTTATTTATTTCCATTTTGTGATGTTCTTTTAAAGATTATGATACCCCAAGGCATTAAAATGGCACACATTTGTGTGATATTTCATAGTGAAATGGTGTAAAGGAATCATTATATTATATTATATTTAAGACAAGTGTGTATGATGTAAAAACCTAGCATGGGTCTTATACACTTTCAGAAATTTGGCATCATGGAAGGAAAGTGTGTGAAGGAACACAAGGAGATGGCCCAGAAAGCAGGAAAGACTGTGGTGACATACACACCGCTAGGGGCAGAAACCACAGAACAGGTCAGGTGTAACTTCCTTGTCAAAGTGTGTGCATGTTTGCTTGCTTGTTTCCTCACTATTTTAAGTTGATGGCCAGTGTCAAATGTGTTACTTGAAAACATTTCATGACTTCATATATATTTGCCTACAGTCCACCAAGTATTTTTCATGTACTTACAATTTAATTTACCACTGAAACAAAATACATTTGCTGCTTACACCAGCATTTTATTTATAATTTGTGTTATTTGATTTTCACGGCTATCACATTACATTTACAATTGTAATATATAAATTAAATATTACAATTGGAAATGTAATATTAGGTACATACTTGAAAATGTTTTGTGCCCATGCACGCAACCTTCATCACTTGGTGGTCATGTTCTTAGCTTCTAATATAAGTAAAGGTCACTCTTTTGTTTGATGCTTAAGTTATGAAACTTGCACTAAAAGATCAATTGAAAAAAATAAATAATAATTATTTGAAACATTTACCCCTTTCAGCATGACAGTTGCTTTATTTTGGCCTTGTTCTTAGGAAGCCTAAAACAGAATCTATTTGGTTTCCAACTTGCAAAAGGACTAAAATTAAGTCTAAAGTGGACTTGATCACAAAATTGTTTAAATGTGTGCATGTGTGATTTCTGTTTTGTATTTGGCTGCATCCCATTATAGTGACAGCCTTACAGAGATCCATTTAAAATAAAGTGGCAGCATTTTAGTTACCATTATTACAGGTTTAGCACTTTAAAACTGCTAAGATAATGCAAAGGTTGTGACAGTGAAATGTGAAAATTAACATATTTCAAAATTATTACAATGAAACATTTTTACAATGACTATGACCTAAATGACACAATATGCAAGTAGTATACTACTGAGAAGGGTTAGTTATAATAAGCTTAGACCCTGAACTTGAATTAAGTTGGATATGATGTCTCATAGCTCTGTGCTGTGGCTGATTGAGGGTAACAGCTTTTTCATTATTGCAAGAAGTGATGTGATATGCTAGAAGTTTAATGGTACTATCATTGCAAGAGTGTAAAAGTGAATTAATGTTTTGTATTGAAAACATTCAACTTACTGATTCTAATATGGCTGAAGTGAAAAAGAATTTCTATTTTCTTGATAAATCAGGCTTCCTTTTTTCAAGTATACATGAAAAGAATGCAACTGTGACCTCTTACAGCATATTCTGTTTTAAAATTAAATTGCTTTAATTTTGTTTTAAATTGAAGGTTCGACAGCGAGTGATATTATTCTTCCAAGAACTTTGCCAGTTGATACAGCGAGAGTCCCAGGATGAGGAGCCAATGGTGGGCCAGCCTTGTACCATAAAGCGGCGGCGTTACGGCAGCACAGCCTATGGTGCTAATAGTCCCGAGGGGAGTGTTTTCCCGTCAGACTTCCCGTATGAAGCTGAACAACACTCTACACTCACCCAGCAGACTCAAAACAAAGGCAGCAACAAACCCATACCTAACTGTGATTCTCAGATTGATCTGGTTATGACTAAAGGAAGCACATCCAGTACTACATCTGGGTGCTCCAGTATGACAGACAATGAGGTACAAGCTGCAGAAATCAGTGCAAATGGTCCTGACCTTGACCCCCAGCAGCCAGGGAGGTCAGGGTCACCAGTGTTCCAGCATTCAACCTGTGATGATGCGGATATTAAAGCACTAGTTACCAGCAGTAGTAATGCAGAAGCCCAGCAGCATTATGTCTGCCCCAATGTGTCCTTGTCACCCCTCGTAGAGCATAGACTGGAAAGGATATCTAGCATCAGCTCAGGCAGAAATAGTTTTGATGATGGTGACGTCATCCCACCCATTGTTGCTAATGTTCTCATAGCTTCTCATGGAGGTTGCTTGAAGGAGCTCATCCGCCATTTTGTAGATGATCTAGAATGTAAAGTATTTGGAGGAAGAGGGCATGCACTGAGGGTCTCTCCTAATACTGGACTTTCTAGGTTCACTATTACACTATCAGAATTCGATGATAAACCAAAGGTAACCTGCTTGCTTATACATGATAAAGACCACCTAAATGGCTATGAACTAGACACAGAAACAGAAGGCAATTTATAATGTCATCTTTGACTGGGCCTTCTATGCCCTTTGACTGATGAAAGAATTAGCATAAGGAATTTTGTGCATGATCATGTCTGGTTACAGTATGGGACTTGGAAAGGAATTAGTTGCTAGATTTTTGTTTGTTATTGTTGTAGGTGTTTTGATAAGAGTCCAGTTAATCTAAATTTGCTTGGCCAAGTAAAATTGTCTTCTTTTTGACTATAGCAAATATTTTTCACACCAGAATAAAATATGGCAACCATTGCTATATAGATGTTAGTGAATAGAAACATAAGTTCATTTACAAACATGTTTTTAGTGTATTAGAAATATTTGTATGTTATTCTGTTCAGCAAAAATGTCTTAAGGCAATGAGTAACATCTATTAACTAGCTAGAATTATGTTTTTAAAGGTAATGTAGGAAAAAAGCCTCCATATGTTAAACATAGGCTCAAAACATTGGTTTATGACCAAGCAGTATCATGGTCAAATTTTTTTTTTATGAGATGTAAAAGTCCCCATTTTGTAGAAGTCAGATATTTTGAAAAAATTTATTTTATCTAAATACTGTTTAACTTATGGTATTTCTTCTGAGCTGTTTATTTATTTACACAGACTTCCATATATGTTGTTCTACAGAGGCTTAAAAAGCCTTTTTCTGGAGAACACTTGTCTCTATATCCATACACTCTTACTGAAAATAAAATAGATTCAATTTAAGCTCAAGTAGATTCTGTACATTCATTAGAGGTAGAGGTTGATTAAGTGATGAATGCAATATACAGCAGGTCTAAATAAACTTTGAAGAATGAGGTTGTTCAACTATGGGGCTGGACATACAGGGATAAGCACAGGTATTAATTAATACATGCATGCACTCCCGGACAAGATTGAGTCACGCAACCTGAACTTGACACTGATCACTCAAACAGTAAAAAAAAAATAGGGCCTCCAGAATATGACACCTTATATCCCTTTCAAATAGTAAATTGTGACAAATATATTCTTCATTGATTACGTTCAAAGTAGCCACTAGCTTTTAAAAAGTCCAGTATGCAGTGCTCTTTTTTTTTTTTTTTTTTTTTTTTTTTTTTTTTTTTGTAGGTAGACGAAAGCGAGCGTCTGACCGTCACTTCTATCAGTAGACTGGCAAATATTTATAGATAACTGAAGTCATACGATGAAATAAGTACCACTAATGACAAGCTATATAGCTAACGAGAGCAGTCCGCTATTGTTGGGCTTAGTAATTAATGCAGAACTTTCTCCGGTTTTGGTATTACTTGTAAGAAGGCGGGGTCCTGGCTCATCTGTTGGTTACGTGTATATTATGCTTATCCATGCTGATGTGCGGCGCTTTAATGTAAACATTTTTTAGTGTTTGCCATTATTTGTTAACTTTTCTGAAGATCGAATTATATTATAACTATTCTTTTATTTCATCTTATCAAACTATTTCTATCATGGTATTGTGCGAACCTGTCATAAAAACGAAATGTTGTTTGGATACACTAAAAAAAAATAAGTGTATCATGTAACTGTATACATTTGCAGGTGTGACAGGAATGGTAGTCCGCTAGGAGCTGTTGTCCGTTTCCCATTACTTTGTACATATGACATACGTCCCACATACTAACCACAGTACTCCCAATTAACCCGAACTTCTAATAATTTAAAGGGACCCCGGTCTTCCTTTCCTAGGACTAGCATTCCTGTCACCCCTGTACGTCCCACGTGAAAGAAATAAACAAGAAGACAAATGTTATTTCAGAAAAAAATCAAACAAATTAGAATTGTCCTAAATCTTGTTAAAATGTTTTCTACTATTCTGTCCCGCGAAAAATATTTTTTTTTCGAGAGTTGAGTTTTTTATCAGTGTAGTAAAAAGAGATGTTTGCCGTTGGAATTTGGCAGGAATGCCGATTGCGTTTTGTCGTTGCCGTACCTAATCACGCTACTGTATACGGGATCTGCACGCCAAAATGAACATTCCACGGGAAATAAACAATTTTTCCTACTAATGAATCCCTGCTCAACCCGTCCCTGCACTTGGATTCGATGTTTTACTCCATTTTTAATTGAATGATTTAGTTCTAAATGACTGGCCAGACATTTAAAGCGAATTTTTCCTGTATGTTCCAGAATGAACTATCGACGTCAGGTACTTTTATTTTGATGGGTTTTATAGATTTTAAGGTCTGAATTGGGGAAAATTAGTAGCTTTGCATGATATGTAGACATAGCAAATATTGCTTCGGGAAATTTTCATACGCGTATAGTTTGGTCCAAGTTTGTACACTGTAATATGCATGTTTTTCGTCGTTGATATACATAAAAATCTCGCTGTAACTTGGGGGAAAATATCAGTATTATCAAAGGTTCAAATAAGTATTAGGAATAATTTTTCTCAAATTTATTTCCTGTTTATGCAATAAATCCATATAAATAAACAATTGTAGCAAACTCAACTTACTACGTTTTAAAGAGCCTGTTTTTAAGAGCCAGACCATTATTTTCTTAATTCCTGTATTAGTTGTGGCCTACGAAACACTGTGACTGTTACAAACGTTACTGGTTTCTAGCGCCCGTATCTTTCGACGTAAGACTTCGAAGCTTCCTTACAGCTCTCTGCCGCAGAATCAGGCCAATCACAAATTTGACGATCTTCGTTGAATACCAAGCCTGTTGAAAAAAGTTTAAAAGCGCAGATTACATGTGGGTTCACTGTATGTCCAACATATATTGAAGAATGAATAACAACAGTAACTGCTTTACACGGATGGATCAAGTTTCCTTTAAATATTTCAATTCTTCATGAACAGAACTGACCTCTATTACTTCATATAAGAATAATAAAATGCAAAGATTTTCATAAGTCCCAATTAAATGAACTGTGTGAAATGTGCCTCTTCTGGGCCAAATGCAGACTAAAGCAAAGAATAGATCTCAGTAGCGGGGTACATACGTACAATGTATGATTGCAACCATTTTTACCTCACGGGATGAAAAGTATAAGTGAGTATCTTTACCTGGGTTACACTTATTTGTTCCCATGAAATGTCCCTCGTGACACGTGTAGTAATAAGTACAGTCTCGCTCAGCATCGGCGTATTTTCCGTTCTCCTTCTCCATACAGTCTTGCTTTACCCCACACGGAGCTGGGGCATTCTCTCGCCTATGAAAACAAAATGCCAGTAGGATATCAAATAAAGACGGACTTAAGTAAAAGAAAAATAAGTTTGAAGACAATAGTTTAAATGGTTTCCCACTTATTATTCTATCTATGAAAGTGCACGGGGACAACAGACGCAGGTAACGACTACGCGTAAAGACGTGTCTGTACATAAAAAGGTTCTTCGCATATTGAACGGAATATTTTATCGATGCGGTCTGTATCGGTACACTCTTAGGGGTACTAACAAGTAACACGTTACGCTTCCAGCTCTTTACACTTAACCGTGTTAAGCATGGAGGCTTCGTTTAGGTTGACCCCATTACGAAATAACCAAGCTATTTAATATTTGCTAAAATCAAAAAGTGCACCGGTGAAGACTGCACCCAAGACTGGATTGAAAATCGATGCCGCTCGTTGTGAAAAAAGGGCCAAACAGTTTTTTTGAATCTGCACTTTTGCAGTTTGTCAAACTATTGAGAGAAACATATGCTAAAGCAATACTTCATTTATATTGATTAGTAGCAGCCAAATCTTTTTTATGCCTTTACTAGCTACTTCATAACTGTATACTGTTATTACCTATCACAGTCCCCAATATCTGTATTGAGTACGTAGTTGTAGTCGCATTCCACAAAAAAAGTTTTTCCAGAGACACATCTGTAGAAAGCTCTGCATCCACTCTCAATCACACCATCAGATCGTTTAGAACAATCGAAGTCTGAGTGAGTTGTCGGCCTCACCTTCCCGTGATTTATTGGTGGTGCTGCAATGCAGAAATTACTTGACGTATTAGTGATTCACGTGCTCTTGGTATAGGTAGGGGAACTGAGAGAAGGTGCTACAAGTACTAGTGAGATGAAGACCAAGGTATCACAGTCTGCACAAGATCATAAATGCAACTCAATATTGTTATCGTCTATTTGGCTTTATGATAATATTATGAAACCCTGGACAAAAGCCAATTAATGAATTACACATTTTATGTGTCTCAATGAATTTCATGGTGTAGTATCTAGTAAGAGTTGAATTCCACTGAATCATAAAAGAAAAAAATTGTCAACCGATACACAGGATGTAGAAACATGAATGAATATTTTAATACCTTTAATTTCTCCCTGTAGCTTTGTAGCTGTGACTACACCGTCCTTGATGTCCTCTGGATCAGGCAAATCGGCACTCTCTTGGTGTTTACTGTCCCCTCCATCCATGTCGAATAACCCTGAAAGGGGGTCCGCATCCTGCTTACTAGGAATGTCCAGTTTTGGAAAGAAGGGAGGGCTTATCTCCTCTGTTAGCCCGTTTTGTTCTGGGACGTCCGGAAGGACATTGTGTCCGGGAAGCGATGAAGGGTGGTTGTACTCTTGAGGAATGCGAGGACCATTCTGTTCACGAAATACCGGTGGCCAATTGTTTCCTGGTAACATAAGAGCACCATTATGTGCAGGAGACTCTACAAGTCCACGTTCTGGAAAATCATAAAGCCCTTTGTGCTCGGGGGAAACTATTTCGCCATCAAACTCACTAGACGTGTGTGTTTTTTGTAAATTTTGAAAATTGTCTGGGTGAACACGATTGACTGTCGTGGGGGCTTGTTTGTTATAATCTCCTGCACCAAAGCCATCGATGTCTGACCGAGGAGCTCCCGAAACAAGTTTGCGTGATCCTGAGCGTAAAGACACTGGCTTGTTCTTGAAATCGTACTGGTTGCGATCAAAGACATTTATGTTTCTAGTTTTGTCACTATTGTCAAAGCGTTGTGAACTGGGTAATGCTAGTTGTTGGCCCAAATTCCTATATGACGAACTGTCAAATGAAGGATCTGACACAGAACGCAAATCCTGATTTCCATGTTGGTCGTGGTCCTTTTGTAAAAGGTAACCTGAACGTCTGTCTGCATTACTTTTCATATCAACACTAGCATGTCCTCTGTCAGGAAAGACTTCTAGGTTGCCATGTTCTTTACCGTCTGTAAAGCCTTCTAGGTTACCATGCTCTCTTCTGTCAGGGAAATGCTCCATACTACCATGCTCTGTACTGTCAGGAAAGTGTTCCATATAACCATGATTTCTACTGTTAGGAAAGAGTTCCATATCACCATGATCTCTTCTGTTAGGAAAGTATTCCATATTACCATGCTCTGTACTGCCAGGAAAGTGTTCTGCGTTACCACGTTCTCTATTGCCTGGAAAACGGTTTTGTTTAACTGGTTGCACTATGTGCTCTGGAAACTGTTGGTTTGGAGTACTTTGAATCCTGTCTACTGGAGCATTTGGTTGTAACTCATGGGGCAGTCTATTATATAAATGATCATTCTGAAATGGTGGTTGAGCACGTTGTTGAAAGCCTTGGCTGGGTTGTACAGGTTGTGGTCCTATCCTTCTTGCGCTACTTTCTAATTCTGGCGCAATAACATGGAGCGTACCGGTTTTAAATTCTTCTTCATTTTCCTGTAGGCCACCGACGTTCTGAAGGTTTTTATCATGGTTCTGAGATTCGGCGCTTTGAGGCTTTGGCTTTATTGTGTTTGCTTGTCCAGTTAAAGAGTGCGGCGTATGGTCTATAGGGAAGTCTCCCAGGCCATCATTCCTATCCATTGTGTTATGTCTAGCGGCACCAGGAAAATTCTCATTAGGGTTGAATGCATCGCCTGGTTTCTCTTCTGTCTCTTTACCAGTGTTCCTGGACGGTCCCAAATCTGCATTTAAATTCCATGATTGTCCCGTGCCTTTGTCTTTCTGAGTTGGGCTATTAGGTCGCAGAAGAGGACGACCTCTCAAATAATCATTCTTAGTTAAAAAGTTTGGTTTCTCAAAGCGGCCTTTTTTCCCTGTACGGGTTTCAGCAATACTCGAGGTGATAAACCTTTCATTACTTAATCTCGACTGACCGGTGGTAGAATGTGGTCTGAGGCCATACCTGGTTAAATGTCGTGTCGGCAACAGGTCCACATCGCTATCTTTACTATCAATACTATCATCGTTTCTGTGTGAAATTGGACCACGCTCTTTAAATAATTCATTTTCAACTGTAGTGACCCCATTTGTGTAACCGGCAGCTGGGAATTCGTTGCTATCACTTGGATATCCATCGCCTTTGTAACCATCAGTATTTTCGTTGTTATAAACTGTGGATACTACATCTTTACCAGTTCCTCCTACATGTCCGTCAGAATTATGGCCATTTAACTGATCGTTATTATGTCCGCCTGCAAACCAGTTATTACGCTTGGGTTCGTCACCGTTATCATCTATATATCTGCCCTTTGTATTGTCCTCCACATTTCCACCATTTGTATTGTCTGCATACCCACCAACGTTGCCATGCTGAAACCCATTACTTTGTCCGTGTACAAAGCCTGTACCCATCATATGTTTTTGCTTATTGTTCCTGTCATTTTTATCAAGGGTCGAAGAGAGCGCATATTGTTGGTGCATCAAGCCTTGGAAATTTTCCTTTTCCCTGTGGTCCCTTGGATCTGGTGATCCAGGATGCAGAGTATGGGTGACTCCATTCTTGAGCGGCGGGCCAGGCGAAATGTGCGGACCTTTAGGTACTGTAAGAATACATTTGACGGTCAAACAGAGTAACTGGAAACGCGGTACATTCTACGCATATTGTTTGAAAAAGAAAAATCTGTAAATATTTCTCAAAAATCCAGGTAATTGAAATTCGTAAAATCTATCTTCCTGTTAAATAGTAGTACATGGCAGGATCCTAAAATCCCTAATATGTAATTTATGAGTAGGCTACATGTAGGCTACATGACTTACCTGCTACCCAGATGTCTGTTTCCATGTCTACCCAAATATCAGATGCGTGGAAAGTGTTACTAGCTGTACACTTAAACCGGTAAAAGCCACTTTTTGTAATTCCATAGTAATTTTTTCGCCGCAGGTCTCCCATGTACAAATGACTTCTCTTAGTCAAAATAATCTCACTGGACGGCTGAATCAATTTCCACGTATATTTTGGCCTTGGATTTCCGTTTGCATGACAGATGTATGTTTCCTGATCTTGCTGGTAGTCGATTCGAGCACTGCGTACGGGGACTGCGAATAGCAAAACAACGAATTCATATACTTCTTAATATAAGGACAGAACAATGTTTGTCTAGTTAAGAACATTTTATTTCTACCACAAAAATACAAGTTTGTAATTGCATAAATATATTTTGTCACTTTAATGTATGCTATATTTCACCAAGTTAACATAAAATATGAGATTGCTTTCTAATGTTTGAGAGTTTTAAACGAATCCCTCGACAAAAAGCAACCAAGGGCATAATATTATCTTGTTGAAATATGCTTCAAAATATAAAGCATTCAGAACAGATCGAAGACAGTCATCAGAACTATAATTGTGGCGATGTTTGTGAGTTTCCAATTGGTTTTGCTGGCCGTGTTTGGCAGACCCATGACATGCGGTCGGTAGCGGCAATATGCCTCACGTGGCTGAGAAAAGCGTCTGAAGTGAGCAAACCACTTACATTTCACGTCGAGGGCTACATCATAATACAGCGGTTCATCCGGGCCGCTGCTCTTAGTTGCACACCGATAGACGGCAGCATCGTCTTCAGCGAACAGCTGCAGTTCCAGGGAGCTTACTGCATACACTGTTCGGTTGAAAAGTGGAGTTGTCTCACTATGGATCGTACCGTGCTTAATTGGCTTGAAGTCCGTGTCACTTGCACGACGACGAAACCACAGCAACTCCCCCGCGGGTTTCCCAACGTTAGCTCGGCAGTACAAGGTTGTGTTTTCCCCTTCTTCAAAATATTGTTTAGTGTCGTCGATGAATGGCCAAGATGGTGCCACTATATATAATAAAACAAAACATAAAATTATTAAAAACGGAAATCTGCATATCTGTGGTCTACACAGATAACTCATGCATGTTTAACTGGTTTGCAATCACGAAGAAGTTTTTTTCTTAAAATTATTTGCTAACTTTTTGCGTTTTACTAAAAGAAAAATGAATATTTCTCTGAATTACCGAAATAAAATTGTACAAATATGCCTTATCTTCGATACATACCGGTAGTTGCAAGGGCATGGCAGTTTTTTTTTTTTTTTTTTTTTTTTTTTTTTTTTGGGGGGGGGGAAGGGGGGAATTTAGTAGGGCAACCATTACCCTTTGACGTTCCAGGAAAGACATTTTCACAATAACTCACCTCGGACGTCCATCTTCTTAACGTCAGCTACAGCAGGGCCGCCGATGGGTTTGATCAGACACTCATAATAGGCCTCATCTATCAACAGTACTGGATTGATAGTCAGCAGAACGAAGTTATTCCATGATTTTAGCCTCTCAAATCTGGGCTCATCAAACGGAAGAGAACCACTTCCACTCGAATCTTCTTTGTAGCCTCGCATAACATGCGGCCTATTTGTGGTAGTAGCATTTCTCATTTGTCGCAAGAATTTTTGGACTTCTTCTGTGGGGGTAACAATTTCTCGATTTTGTTTGTCGCCAAGCGTGTCAGTGGTAATGGCCGAGCGATGCGCGGAGACGGAGGTCGTGGCCCGCTTGGTAAGATACCTTTGCGTGTTCTGTTTAAAATGCGGTTCCACATCTGTTTTGGTGGGCAATAATTCATCATTTGGCGCGCTTTCGCTTTCAGGCTGGAAACTAGTGTAATGCGACAGTGGTTGTGAAATCGAATCCAGCATGGCACCCGATCCTAACTCATACTGGAGGAATGCTCTGCCCTTTAGGTCGTTATAGGACTGATTATAGAACGGTAGCGGGCTAAATTCGTAAACGAAGACTCTTCTTTTGGCTCCAGCGTATATTTTAGTCCAAGAAATATACTGTATTGTAAAGTCTGTCCCGTCAAAACCGCATCGTAGAGTTACTGGGCCACCAAATTTAGCATATTTGTTCGCCTGTAATTCCACCTCTGTAATTGGTTGAGGAGTCACTGAAAAACAAAATCGTCGTTAAGTTATAATTATAATTTACTACTACAAATTCCACTAGGAGATTTCAAGTTTAAACCAGCCATTGCAAATGCTATATATTTATTAATTGAAATTGCAAGTTAACTCCTCGACAGTTGAAAACATATCTCTAAGTATTAAAACCTGTATTTATCGTGACAATTATCTGTTACGTTTGATATTCTAAAAATCTCAGAGTGTGGCAACAAGGCATATGAATCATTTTGCCCCAAATAAGTATTTGAAAGCATGATTTTTCAAAACTTACCTGAAAACACAGCTAAGCCTATAAGAGCAAATGCGATTCCTCGTTTCCACATTTTGAATCTGAGGACAGGCCGTTACATTATTCCCATTAGGGTAATTGATCAAGTGAAAATAATACAGAAAGCAAATATGTGGCCCTCATAAAGAGAAATTGCACGATGATGCGATAGAATTGGCGGTTAAACCAACTGTTACCAACCAGTAAGAATGATGTTTCCACAGGTCGAACAATTAAAATCTGATAACCCTTCTTGCATTTCAAACATCCACTTAAGAAGAGTTTCGTGGCCACTACCTTGCCTCGCACAAGTTTCTTTACAGTAGCAGATTTTCTTGTCGCCTTTAGGTTATCTGTTACAATTTTCTACTTCCATCTGTTGTCAGAACGTTTAGACACACGCAATTATAATGCGGCAGCTGTCACATGAACACGCCCAGGAGACGCACACACCCGCACTTTAAATTGTTTAATATTTAAAATATGAACTGAAACTTACCGGTATGAATGGATGCTTCTTGGAAATAACAGTAGCGGATACAGCCACCCTCACACCTTTTTTTTTTAAAAAGGAGAAGAGATCCAATCTAAGGCCTTAAGTCGCGTCTCTAATATTGTTAAAAATCACCCTTACTGAGAACCAATTTTCAGAAAAAAATTCCGGAACAGAAAGTTCACCCAAGGACTAACTTTTAGATAATAATTAACCCACACTGGAATCACAAAAGTACGTTCAACACATTAAAAAATGAACAACATTGCACTCTATAATAGTATTTCAAAAGCAATATACAGTAATTTATCATTAACTACACAAAGCAGACACGCAATGTGTGTGTGTGTGTG